TACTCATGCCTATATAAATTAATTTGATTGTGGCTATTTCTATGCTTAATTATTTTATTTACTTGCCATAGGTATGCACAGCATTTAATAAATTAATGATAATAATTAATAACACAACATTCTAAGTGCATAAAATATAATAAATTAAAAGTACAATTTTTACAAACCTCATTGGTTATGGTGATGGGGATTCTTTAAAACTGAATGATCATGATCTAACAAGTCATGGATTGATGAATCACTGGAATCACACATTATCTTTAATAAATTTAATAACAACATGTACTACAATTTAAGAATGAGGAATATTTTGTAAAACATTAAATGAAAAAAAATTTAGTTTGAATCACTCATAATTAATAAATTTCAATTAAATTGCAAGTTAGCTTGGGGAGTTTGAAGCTTGAATTGAACAAATTACAAAATTGTTTATTTTATAAAATTGATTGACAAGTTGTTTAATATATTTATTTAATTTAGTATATTTTTTATTCCCAGACCTAAGCATTGTAAATAAAAATTTTAAAACCAATCAAGCAATAGAATTTAGGATCTTAGGAACAAGTGCTGTTAGTCGTTAACTGTAGTGTAGTGGTTGGTAGTTTCTAGTAGTCTAATCTGTTAATGTTCGTTTATCTGTTATTTATTTCAATTAGTAGTTAGAATCAGTAGAGTTTAGTTTTAGCTTAATTATTAGAGTTTAGTAATTTAATTACTAATTAGTCGTCGTTTAGTGTTGTTACAGTTAATGAGTTAAGTGTTGTTGGTGGTTCACAAAAAATTTTTTTTATTTAAAATGCAAAAAGATACTTAACCGTCATACATTATCTAGTACCTTTTAAAACATTTTGAAATTTCAAATAAAAGCAATATTCCGAAATTAGTAAATATACGATCGTAACTTTTGACTTGGGCGATAAAAAATCGCCCTCCAATTTTCCTCCGAAAGTAAGCTCCTTGTCCGACCGTCAAAAATGAGCGAAGGCCGTTATATTTATTCTAATTTTATGGGTAAGACACGATCAAGACCATGGTTATATATAATAATATTGATATATTATATCCATGATTATGACTTTCGGTTCAGCTGCTTGTGTTATCGCTTGTACTAATTTATTTTTCTCTGTTTAAATTCAGTATAATTCCAACTGATAAAGTTTTGTTTGCATATGTATACCTATATTTTTGGATATTTTTTCAATTATATTTATACATTACTACATAAAACATTAAGTTGAAATCTCAATCAATCTATACTTTATTCTATTTATACAATATATACATAGAATATTTTATATATTTGCAATGTATATTATTTTATATATTTGTATGCTATCAAGCAGTCAATCAAGTTTCGTTTTCTCGATTGACAGTCAAAGCTCTACTGACTTTTTGCACGTTCAATTAGCTCTGCAGTGTTTTTCGTTCATTTGTTTCCGTCGTCAGGCGGTGCAATTCTTTTCAAGTTGGTACATGTTTGTTGTTTTTAGCGTTATTTAATTACGTTTAAATTGTAAAAGATTAATTTTTCTTTCTGCATACGAATGTAAGTTATGTCTTTAGAATTTAGATGGAACTTTTTGCGGTCTGCCGTGCTGGTGGTGGTAGGTAGAGCCAGAGACAAGCAAGAGTGTTGTTTTTTATTTTAATTTAGGTTGAATTATTTGTTTTATTTAATATTAATTATTTCGGTTAATAAGCTAGTCAGAAGAATTGGCTGGTAGCTAGCTCACTATACTTTATTTTTACTTGTTTTAAAGGTTAGTTTGTGACATGTAGATGTAATCATAATATAAATGTAATATGATTATATTATGTATTACAGATTACTAGTGTTATCATTATGATAAAAGTAATCTGTAATACGTAATATAATCAATGTAATCAGTTAAGGCTTAAATTAAACTTAACTGATTACATTACTTAACTGTTAAGTCAAGTGTTAAGTAAAGTAGACAGTAAGTAAACAAAACACTAAACAGGTAGTAAAACAGATGTAAACCTAACTAACTAAATGCTAGTGCTAGCTAGCTCTTAGAAATTTAGGACTTGAGAAGAGATTAACATTAAGGGTTTTTTTTTAAGAAGCTCTTGCAAGTGTTTTCTAGAACACATGTGCTTCCTAGTGCTCTTATAAAGCCCAAAACAAAAAAAAATCAAAATCAAATACATACACAACTGTGTTCAAATTAAAAAGGCTAGTTTAATTTTAATTAAATTATAGCTAAACTCTTTTTCTTATTTTATTTAATAAATTTTAATTAATGTAGTTGCATATCATAAAAATGAATAGGAATTTTAAAATTTTAAACAAATATTTATTTTATTTATTTCACCCAAACAAGGTATACTCTTTAATTTTTATTATGGTTTGAAATGGGAAGTGCAAATGGTAAACTAAATAAAAATGATCTCAAAGAATTAAAAGCCTTAACACATTGTGAGTTCATTTTTTAAGTTCTATTTCAATTTTCAATGCAATAATTACTACACTCCTTTTTTTAACATTCAGTCAAGAAGCATGAGATAACCCAATGGTGAGTTTATTGTGATTTTCAACTTTATTTGTTTATCAGTAACCAACTGTTGCCAGTTGCCAATAAAATGTATATATATTTGGAAATTATCTGATAGTATAACATAACATCTGATAACATGTTGTAGCAATGCATAGTTCAATTTCAATAGTTCCTGCCATCATAAGCAGATGTGTATGAATGAAGTGTTTTTTGTTCATGCAAATTATGCTTGTTTTGGTTGCCATATATATACTAAAAGGCAAATTTAAAAAAAAAAATGAGAGCCAAAACTTTGTATAAATAAAGATGACACTATAAGCACTAATATAAATTTTGATATATTTCAGGTACAAAGACTTTATGACAGAATGTCCAGATGGCATATTGAAAAAAGAAGTGAGATTTTTATCGTAGGATGATTGTCAGATGGTTGTTAGATGGATGTTTGAGATGCTTGTCGACAGTTTTTTCTAAATAACTAGCTCTTTTTCACAAAATATTCATTTTCAAAAGAAAACTTCTCATACAAGACTGTTGTAATTGGCATGCAAGTTTGAATATATGCAATGCAAGCAGTTTAGTAATGCCTTGCAAGTTTAACTGAACCTTAATAGTGCAGTGTTGAAGCACTCAGTCCTACAGTGGAGTTATCAGGTTCAAATGTAAAGAAGTTCTGCCTATCATGCAGAATTTTATGATGCACTGTGTCATGAGTATCATTTATGCAAAATTTTTATGAGTTGAGAAAAGGTGAATTAATGCATAAACGAACTGAATGAATGGTTTGATATAATTTTGGAAATGTTGTTTGCAGGAATTTTACAGAATTTACAACCATTTCTTCCCTCTTGGAGATTCAACAAAATTTGCGAGCTACATTTTTGATGTCTTTGACTTCAACAAGGTTCATTGTTCATTGTTGCTGCTATGTTTGTATAGGGGAAAATTGTGTTGATAGAGATTTTGAAATGCAGGCAGGTTATGTGACATTCAGGGAATTCATCATTGCCTTGTCCATCACATCCAGAGGAACACTCGATGAGAAGCTTGATTGTTATCCATTTACCTATTTTTACTCATCCATTATTTTTCAATTAGCTTCATTTTTTAAGTTTTCATAGCATTGAAATTCAAAATAGTTCAATCAGACCAAGTGAATTGAAATAATTTAGCGAATCGAATCACAGGGGCATTCCGGCTGTACGATCTGGACGGAGATGGGTACATCAGCAAGTCGGAGATGATCGTCATCGTAGACGCCATCTACCTCATGGTCGGTCGGACTGTCGATCTGCCCCCGGATGAGAACACTCCTGAGAAGAGGGTCAACAAGATCTTCAAACAGATGGATCTGGTAGGGTGCACTTTGCTGAATTTGTTGTGGAAACTATTTACACGTGTGTGTGTGTGTGTGTGTGTGTGTGTGTGTGTGTGTGTGTGTGTGTGTGTGTGTGTGTGTGTGTGTGTGTGTGTGTGTGTGTGTGTGTGTGTGTGTGTGTGTGTGTTAAACTATTTGTGTGTGTGTGTATGTAAATGTACACAGGCACCCACACACATACATACATACATACACACATACATACATACATACACAAATTTGTTTTCTGGTTCATACATACATATTGTACCTTGCTTGAAATCCTGCAGAACAAAGATGGCAAGTTGAGTGTGGAGGAGTTCAGAGAAGGTTCCAAGTGTGACCCCTGGATTGTGCAGGCCATGTCTGTCCATCTTCCTGATTTCAAATGACCACCTGTTGACGATGATGATGACGGTGGTGACACTAATGAGGATTGTAATTAGGGAGAAGGAGACTGTGGTTGATGATTTGGAAGGAAGCTGTATTTATATTATCTTGAAAGTTTTGTATTTGTCATTTGATCTTTTTTAGTTTATTTAAGGACATCTTATCACCTTTATGATGGTGAAGAATATGTTTTTTTCAATGTTCATGGCATAGCATATATATTTTAGCAAGCTTGCTCTGCCCTATTTATTAATAAGATATTTTCACGTTTGCCAGCCGGTTTTTATTAATTGTGCATTTGATGTTGTTTAATGTATGTGTACTAAGTTATACGAAGTGTGTGTGTGTGTGTGTTAGTGTTTTTATGTTGTCTCAACAGCTGCTGATGTTTAATTTTGAAATAATTCGTAGTACAATTATATATATGTAAGCTCTCGATGTGAACAGTTTATTTAATTTTTTTTCGGTTCTCTTCCAAATTTGATTGGTTGTAAGTTGAAGAATGTTTTAAAAGTTATTTCGTCAGTGACTCTGTCACTTTGTATTAATTATACGTTCTATCTAGTCAGTAGTTTTTTTCATTGTTATTCGTTTTAAATCATTCATTTTGTTAATTTATTTTATTCCAGCTATTTCTAACTTTAAAAAACCTCTGTTTTGTTTTGCATGTTTTTTTTTTATAAAACCGAAAACTCTAGTCTGAAGAGGTTCCCTTGTTGTGCATATGCATTTTGATACGTACATTTTACACACAAACGCTTCTATTTTTTCGTGTATCATTCCATTATCTGATATGCAACCGTAGATATGTATCTAATCTATGTATGCAACAATCATATACATAGTTTTTGTTTACAGTCAACTGAACTGATGTTATGGTATGATTGCAATGTAATTGGTTACTCATTTTAATTGAGAGGATGGTGTTGGTGTTGTTTGAGATGATTAAGTGGTTATTTAGTGGTTAAATTGATGACCTATAATTTTATAATATAATGATAATAAAATATTTTCACTCGCTATCAGGAAGATGTATTAACTTGACAAAAGATGATGACGATGAAATGATAATGCGATTATTTAAATGATGTTAATATGTTAATGACATTTATAACGTTACGATTGTTTCAACTGCTCCACAGAAATATTCTAGTGGAAAATGTTGTAATTTAAAAATAGAGAAGTATAAGTTAAGAGCTATCACAGTGTTCATCTCGTTATTTATTCTTCTATAGTTGGTTAGTTGTAGGTTGGTTTGCTGGTTAAATTGAATGTACGGTGCCCTGCTTTGCATACTTGGATAGTGTTCGTCCTACCTCAGGGAACCGGGACTCTGGACGCAAAACGAAGATTGATTGATTGATTGTTCGTTGAGTTCTTGTCTAGTGTGCTAAACTTTATTCGCCCTCCTGTTGCTAATTTATGTGCCCAGAGCTTTATTTGAGTCTACATTTGTTATCATTTGCGTTAAACTGAAAATGTATCTGGCAATTAATTTATATACATTGTTGTTATATGTTTGAAATAGCGATTTTATAGGTTAATAATAAATCGATAAATGAATAATCATGATTAAAGTTGTTACGTGTTGGGTTAACGTAACAACTTTATATGTTATTATGTTAATAAGGTTAATTTGTTGGCAAGAATTGAAACACGATACCTCCTGCCAACAATTGAATGTCATGGTCATTAATTATAAATACATCTACTCTTTGCGATCATCTTGCTTTTTAAGTGTAACATTTTGTTCGAATCACCAGGTAATCATTAACATTTATATATTTCTAATGATTGTGTACCATTCAGTGAGCTTTTACATGTCCACTTTTACAAGTCTTTTTTCAATTCTGATTTTAATTTGGTAGTTGTTTTTAAATTATTTTAATTCTGTTATTAAAGATTGTTTCCTTGTTGTTTATCTTATAATAATATCATTTTTTTATTTCGTTAATAAATTTTTTCGTTAATATCATTTTTTTATTTCGTTAATAAATTTTTATTCATATTTTTCATCTCATACCGAATGCCACAACCGTAATAAATTGTGATCAATGTCATAGTTTGATTTTGTTTCTCGCTAACAAGCAGCAACGTGCCAGTGTGGAACACAACTGAAGTGGAAAAGTTTACCCGCATCATGTTCGTCATCGTCATATGTGTCAGTCACGTGGACAAACGACAAATTTTGGGACAAAGCCTTAGAGTGGTGGTTAACCAGCTAGAGATAAAATAAGCTCTCTTTAGCTTATTTTTTCTTCATTGTTTTCTATATGACCGAAGACTGGTTTTAAAATCCTGAAAAATACATCCATCCATATTTTTAGGCAGCCAACAATTATTTAATAATAAATCGTGATTAAAGTCAATTTCAATATGCTGAGTTAGCATTTTGAAACTAACTTTTTGAATCAGCATTGCTGACCTTCAACTATGTGTATTTTATATCAAGTCAAAAAAAAAGCTGATTTTACACAACTCTAACGAGTTATCCATAAATTCTACGTAGATATAGGAACTTAGTTTTCTCGGGTCAAGTTACTGGACTGCCATCAGTTCAACATTTGAAACAACACACATAGGTCGTTTGCATCTGAAAGGAACAACGTTTTTCAGCAGCTGTTCACTTTTTCAACAAAGTTTATTTCGAACATGAATTGAAATTTGAAAATGTATTCGTTATTTTTTTTCTTAGTAACTGAAAGATATGATAAATGTAAGAAAATCACTCTTCATAAATTTTGCACTTTGTAGTAGAAAGAAGCACAAACATCCTTACATTCAAAATTTTTGTTCTATCAAACAAACGAAGGCCGCTGCGCTGCACCGCATACTTGAAATATCTGTACTAACCCAACAACGCCATCTACTAGTTGTGTCATTCATTCGTGTGCGTGATCAGAAACAAAGAGTTAATGAAAGTATAACAGTGGCTCACGCTCGTGTCTAATGAAAATTCATTCAATTGCCATTCATCATCGTTACCCTTATTCGTCATCAGTTTAATCATTATCACCCACCAATCCATCATTCATTATCATTTTCTTACCTTTATCATCTGCCAACCAGCCAGCCCGCATGACTGGCGTCATCTTCTTGTATACCTACCTACCTACCTACCTACCTACCTCCTACCTACCTACCTACCTACCTACCTACCTACCTACCTGCCTACCTACCTACCTACCTACCTACCTATGGACCGCGTTTATTTCACTTTCAAAAACGATGTTTCAACTTTTCTAAAAATGATTTCTAACCCATAAGAAGTAACCAATCGCTATTTTAAAAAGTAGATTTAAATATAGAAACAATTGCTCTGTCCGTGACTCTGAATGTATGCACACACACACACGTACACACAATTGCTGCACACACACACGCACGTACGTACATCGCTATATTTTCTATCTCTGAATAACGATTTTTTTTGTTCATAAGAATTTTACATATAAAACTGTTTCTATGGAACAAACGTTATTAAAATTGTTATTTAAAATTATTTATTATATATTTTAATAAATGTTTTAACTTTAAATTAAAAAGTATAATGTTCGTTTTACATTGATGTTTGCATACAGCGTATCTCTCGGCGTATCTGGCGTACCATCAATTTTTATGTCAAATAGGAAACAGATTGTAATTGCATCTTTAACAATGAACAAATGTCACTTGCTAACAATAATGAATAATAATAAACAGGGTTTTTTTTTAACGTGCCAATTACATTAGAAATAATGCTACGTTTAATTTTAGTGTTAGTCTTGAGCTTGCACAGTTGGGCATAGCTTACCCAAACGAGGCATAATGCCCGAAAGACTCAATCGGAGTTCATCTTTTTCATTTTTTTATTAAAATAAAAAACTTGCACTTTAAACTTTGCTCGCGGACCACATGTTGAGAACCGCTGGTTTCCGCCATGTAAAATTGCGATTGAAAGTTTGTGAAATATTTTATTAGGTTCTACTGCACCGCTTGGTCGATGTGTTGTGGAAGTGGCTGCATAACTACGCAAGGATGGCTTTATGTTGATATTTTTGAAACATTATTAAAAAAATGCAACTAGCACATTTAGCACTACATAAATTTCTATGCTAGTGCTTTGAGAAAGTTTGCTTGCCTTTGAAGTTACATATGAATGAGATTTAATGGCTTTGGCTTCAGGTCTTACGTTTCTATTCACATTTACAACAAATCAGGGAACCTCTAAACTTTTTTGATGTTCATTGATGTGTGTACCTGATATTAGCATTTAAACCAGTTCTTGTTATCACTCTAAACATATTTTTTTTGTGTTTCACGCGCCAAACGTCACATGGTGAAATCTGATTTATCTTATCATTTTATTTATTTTTATTTATTTATTTGTTTATCTGATTTAGTTATTCTACGCCGCAAAAATGTCATAATGAAAGTATGACGAAGAATAACGCGCGGTTTACTTTTGCTGCCGTGAGATTGTTTAACATGCAGTGAGTTGTAAAGTGTGCAGTGCACATTCACATGCACGGGTTTGTTTTGTGTTGCAGCGATTCGCGCGCTCAGTTTGTTGTACCGCCTCTACTATGTTTATTTTATTATTGTAGCGAGATACCAAATGCACTTATTTATTTTCTGTGCCATTCATTTCACAAAGTTCAGCATTGCAGGTTCCACGTGTTTTTGAAATCAATACCTGATTCAACAACTGCCACCCTGATTCGTCTACTCAATCATACCATCTATTGCAGAGGTTAACAAGTGAACGAGAATAAAAGCAAATATCAGCTTTAAATAATCGTAAAAGTGCGCTGCACGCACACACGCAAGCACACACATATACATACACACACACACACATACACACACACACACACACACATATATATATATATATATATATGTGCGTGATTATGTAGTAAATAATTTTTTGATGGTTTGTATTCATTAAAAAGCTTGCGGCGAGAATCTTTCTACCGGCATATACTGAATCAAAATAAATCTTCTAAATGATGTCTTCTAATAAAGTTAAAGCTTTAATTAATTCAGTTTCTCAACAGCCAACTCCGACCAACAACATCAACAACAACAATAACAATAACAAATGGCACAACTGCACTTAGACCCAAGCAGCACTAACGTGCATTTAAATATTCAGCCAGCAACGAGTGACCCACTAGCTGACCAACGCACGCATATGCATATTTTTGTAATTAAGCAGCGTTATCCCTAGGGTATTCGCAAACATTCAAGATACAAACCAACATTCACTGACACATGAACATAGATGGATATACACATCCAATAACACATAAACATATATACATACATTCAATAATACATATAATCACAGATATTTTAAGATACATACACTTAGATACACCACATTCAATAATACATACACATAAACACACATTCAAATATTCGTTGACATGTACACAAACAAACATTCAAAGATACAAAAATATTGGTACAGTTATGTACAGATATAAACACATACACACACTCAACACAAACATACATGCACACACACACACGCACAAGATTTGAATTACAATCGCACAGGTTGATATGTTGATGATAGTGACACACACGCACACACGAATGCACGTGTTCTAATAAGAATCGGCTTGTTTAAGATAAATAAAGTTGTGGGTTTATTTTATTTTTTGTTAAAATTTTCTGGGTCAGGTCACGATAAAGATATTCATTGCTATTTTTATTATTTAATTTACCTGTGTTGTGTTTATTTTTATGTATGTCATTTTTATGAACAACCTTCACGGTGGTCCGTCATGCAGCGAAGAGAGGAAATACAGCAAGCTATGTCTCGTATTAGGTTCTGTGCCATCTTTTATTCATTAATTGACTGACAAATTAAATTTGAGTGACGAATGATATTTTTCATTGAAAATTGAATAAATAAATGGATTAATTAATTAATTAAGTTTAACGATTGAATTGAATAAAATCAGTCAAATTTAAAAGTTGAATGAAAGTATCTCGTAACTTAGACAAGAAATAGCGAAGCGTGAGACGAAATGGTTGTTAATAAATGCTAAGAAAGTTACTTAACTGCGCACAATCCATTCGAAAGCCACCATGATAGTATCGAACTCGAAAAATTTGTTAAAATTAAAAAAATATCTCAGTGGGTGGTCACACCAGAACTATAATCAGGAAGAACACACGCGTTGTAAACTTGTTTCTCAAATAAATAAATAAAACAATATGTATATATATAAGTATACAAATACATATGTATGTATATGTGTGTGTATGTATGTGTGTATGTACGTGTGTATGTCAGTGCACGTGTGTGTATTTGTTTAAATACCATTGTCTGTTTTGTCATTCTTTGTGTGCCCAATTCGTGCGGTGATGTTGATGATCGTACTCGCTACCTATATATATATTGATATAAAAGGTCAAACATGGGTGTTAGGGGTTTGTTGCGTTAACTTTGAATACAGCTTGGATGAAGGAAGCCATGTAATAATGTGAGTGTTGTTTCTATTGGTTTCGTTAAATTTGTTAATTTTGTTTATTTCGCGTTTCGTGTTAATTTAGAATTTTAGATATAAGGATTTTATTTGTTTATTATTAATTAGATATTTTTTAAAAGAAAATGACATTTTAATCATTGAGCAAAAATACTGATCAGTCCAGATATCAGAAATTTCTGATGCACGTTTTTGTCTTTTGTGTAGTAACGTAACTAAACTAAAGCGAAGTTTTTGACGATTGCCAACTTGTTTACTTTAAATGATGAAGGTTTATTTATTTATATGAATACGCCCCGATAGGGCACGGCCGGTGCAATCAATCATTCGTAATTTTGTCAAATGTAATTTTGCTATGATCAGAGTGTCGTAGTCGGATGAAAAATGTCAGATTCCGACTCCAGGTAAAAATTTCCAGGTTACAACCCTCTAAATTTTTTTTCAACTTTTGCAACATAATTCACAACTAAACATTTAAAATCAGTTAATTAAATTCTTCTTAGTAAAATAACATTTTTTTCATTGCAAAACATACACTGGTCATGTGACTTTATTTGCTACATTTTTTGGCATTTACTTTTGGTATTAAATTAAAGATGATTGCACATATCGATACACGTATCCTCTTTGAAACACGATCACTAAAAATTTTTTTGGAACACTTTGCGGATTCGAATGAAAAATACCCGACTCCGACCCCTCAAAATATTTCGAATCCGGCTAATATTTCCAACTCAGCATTGCGTGCCACTCGATCAAACGATGCTTGAAACACCATTCAGCTAAATTATTTTATTACCGAAATAGTCTTTTTCATTAATTAGCGGCACTCGAAAATTCGCCCTCTTGAAAGGCACTCCACAGCTGCCTGGGCCCGGTTCTCCCTGCATCGCGACGCCTCTGAATTTGAACGGCGGATGTTCTACGCACGAACACCCGACAAACAACCGCCAAAAAATAATTCATAGAAAGTTATAAATAATTATATATACATGCGTGTGTGTATGTGTGTGTATATATAATTTATATATTGTATAATATATAACCAGCGCAATATAGCATAGAACGTACGAAAACAACAAAGCTTCATAAGCTAACCATATGATCACATGTGAGCGTACATGTATATATTAATGATGTGCCTACCTAACAATGTGTGCGTGTGTGTGCCGTTGTGTTCATGACTTAAAAACAAAGACCGGTTATTCTTGCTACAGACGTGGCGCGAATGCTGAATTTGATTTCTTTCTTGGTATTTAAGAACACACGAACCAGGTTGCATCTGTTTGAGATCGCGTTACTTTATTTTTCGTGACCGGACAAATAAATTTAAACAGTAATTTATTTATTAATTTTTCATTTTAGTGTTGCGCTAGTATTCAATTCGACAGAATATTGTAAATTAATACGAACAAATAGTTAAATGTTACATATACTTATTGACATGGATCTTTAATTCTTTATTAAATATTTCTAGATATGCCAGTAGTAATGCAGAGCATCAGCATTTTGGACGATCCTCTGGGGATGAGAATGCTGGAACAGAAGCACGTAATTCGAGGGATAGAAAATCTCTTTGAAGAAGTGAATCATCAAATTTTAATTTGAAAAAATTTTCGTCCACAGTAAATAAATATTGCTGCTGGACTGTTAAAAAATTGCTTAATTGCTTAACACTTTGTCTTTAACAAATTGCTTAACATTTTGTCTCTATAATAGATATAATGTTTTGCTAGGCGTCGCTCGATTGTAATTCTCGGAACGCACTTGTGACCGAAATCTCGCACAAGCAAGGTTGTGCTGTACATGTAAATGGTTTGTTGATTAATAACTTAGTGTTAGGCTAGTTCGCCATGACGCTTGGAACCAATGGTGAATTGGCCTGGTGTACATTTTCAAATTATATCTAAGAGCGTTAATGAACTTTAAACTTTGGAGCTTAGGATGTTTTGCTTGAGGAGTCGCGGCATTGTTTGCGGACCTAGCAACTAATATAATACGTATTTGTAATTACCGTGGACTAAGTTAGGGTGTTTTGTACGGCGTACCTAGTAAATTGTTGTAAATATGTATTCATTGCGGATTTTTTTTACGAATTATGCAGCGGTATTTATCAAGAACGTAACTTCGTGCTTTTCATTTACACATATTTAACTTTCTTTCTGATAATAAAGAATTTTGTTGTATTTTTTTTTATAAATCATCATTATGCAATCAACAATGAAATAAACATTAAGGATGACCCGGGAGAAGTTTGGAAGTCTGCGCGTCAAGACTTTGATAAGAATGGACATGAATCGGAGTTGGATGAGCTCGACATAATTTTGCTGAAGCGAAACAGACCACAAACAAGCAAAGAGGATAATGTCATTCCTGATTTTTCAAATTTGGATGCAAGACTTGTTGAAATTTTAAACGAGAGAAATCGCTGCAGGGAGTTGTCGAAGGCGGCTAATCGACGCCCCAGCGAAGGACCGTGTTGTGCGTTCTGTAGAAACAACCACGAGACGAAGACCATGTACATGTCGCACATTTTGAAAGATGCTAACGGTGATGTCGTTTGCCCTATCCTGTCCAAATACGTCTGTCCAATTTGTTCAGCGACGGGCAAGGCTGCTCACACGACCAGGTACTGCCCGCTCAACACTTCCAATGACTTGCCGATAACCGTCATCACAAAATCGTACCGCTCAGCTGCCGGCGTAAGAAAGAAGGGAAAAAATGATTGATTTCTTATTTGATACTTATTGAACTATTGCATTGTTTTATAATTATTTGTATTAATTTTAACTTGACAGCCTTATTATTTTTTGATCTTTTTATAACACCGAAGTGAAACTTTGGTAATATTGGCGACAGTTTTAATGAAATCAGTTGACCGCGACAATGTTAGAGGATAGATCAGAATTTTGATTGTAAATTTAAATTATAAACTTGACTACAACTGCATTCATTTTTGGTTTGACTGTTGAAAATGAATGACTGAAAACAAGTTCATTTTTTGAATCCGAGACATTATTGACTTGTTTTAAAATATCAGTCAATTTATGATAATTCGTGTTGATCGTCTCTTGTTTTTTAAATTTGATGAAGGCGAAATCGTAGGACAGTCTTGAACGTTCTGTTGCGTCGTCGTTTGATGTTCATCGCTAGCAAGTTTTGAAATTAAGCGACTGAAAGTTGTGAAACTTTTGGAAGAAGAAACCTTGACATATGTCGTTTCTTATGATCAGGTAGCCAGTCAGCGTTATTTGGAAAACACTCAACATTTTCCCGAGTCAGAGGTGCGCATTTCAATACATGAGTTACTAACAAGTATCAATTATACAAATTCTGAACTAAAACTGAATTGTGGAGAGTAATAACCATTTGCAAAAATGTCTTACTGCATCAGCTAAAATTATTTTATTGATAAATTTTAAAAAATACAAAAAGTTAAGAATTTATATCTTTGAAAGCCAATAATTGTATCTATAAGTTTTTAAAATAAAATAAGTTCTTCAAGGTGAAAGTTTTGTTTGACAGAATATCACACGCAATACTATCAATCTTGCTGCCTGTTGGATGGCTACGTTAAAGCCGATTAAAATTGAAGTAAAGGTAAAAAATTTAAAGTAAAAGAGTTACAAAACTATAAGTAAAAACAAAGTAAAGTGATTTATGAGTACAAAGATTTCTGCAAATAATATATCACTGAAACTGGGTTTGTGGTGCGCGGCGCAAAAAAGGTTGGAAACCTTTAACACTTTGGTTTTCGAAATTTCATTAATAAATATAATTTAAGTTATTATTATAAAGTAGGTGTCTGTTAAAGATGTGTGACAGAGTGGTGATCTATCTAATGGCAGAGGTAACTGTTTCTGCTGCTGTTTGTTTCTACTGCTGCCGTGACAGTGTTTGGTTTGGATGCAGTGACGTGCAATGTGTCTGATGCGTGGATTCACGCGAATTATTTTACTTATGTGCGTGTGTCGTTGTCGATACCTCTGGAAATTTATTGAAAGAAAAATGATAGTTGTAATAAAATTGTTAACTAATAGCATTTCAAAGTGTAGAAATAAATAGATTTATGTTTTTATTTGTTTGGTATCACACCATACATTCAGCAGGAACGCGGTGGTTCCATGGTTTTAGTGGGATTTTTATTAATTGATTGTTGTGGTTTGCTTGGTTATATAGAGTTGCGCGGTTTTATAGAGTTACGTGGTTATACAATTGTTTGTAGAGTTTGTGCGGTTATGTAGAGTTTTGTAATGGATTGCGCAGTTATGTAGAGTTATATACAGTTGCACTTAGGATTTATTACTCGAAGTTAATAATAAATTTTAAAAAACGCGCGAAAATAAACGCATACAAAAAAAACACCAATTTTTTTATGTTTTCAACCAAATACATCAATGAAACCATTTTTTAACTTCCATGCGATGTCAGTGATGATTATGATACTAACGAAACACGTCAAAGAAAATTTTCTTACGCCTTAAATTTTAGTTAGTTTAATTACGATATCGATGATGATTGTAATAAAACAATAAAGGAAAACGTCGTCTATTTATTTCATTTCGATATCGACGATTTTGAACAATTGTACAAAAAACATTTTGGATTGTACACTTTCATTCAGATTCTATGTTTCATTATTAATAATCTTTGCAGTCACATGATAAAGAAGTTTATATTGGTCCAGTGTTATGAAAACTTCATCATTTTCGTATATCGCGACAAACTTGTCGTCGTCGTTGTTGCTGCAGCTGCGGTAGTTGTGTGGTTGTAGTTGGTAGACTGCTTGGTAGACATCTACCTGCTTGTGCTTGTCCATCATCTCAAACAACGACAGCATCACCAGTACAACGTTAACGTTTAACATTTTAGAATTCCTAAAAAAATAATTTACATTTTTTTCTTTCATAAAAACTTCTAGAAAAAAATTAATTTATTAATCTTTATTAATAAACCTTTATTAATTATTAATACATTAGAAATAACGTCACACGCCTGAATAAAATTGGAACAGGTGGCAAATCAGCGTTGTTTATAACGTTTTTCAACAACTTGTATAAAGATCCTATCTGGTCCAACGATGAAATTGAGTACAATGTTAAGCGCCTGGAAGGATCCGATAATGCTTTGTAAAGAGTATCATCGGCATTGTCGTCACGCACCTCTGAATTGTTTTTAGTAAGAATTAATGTCGTTGCCGTGTTCTGGATGTTATTTATCGTTTTGTATAGGTAGGACTTCTCTTCACTGTTTTCGACGAAGATGTTTTGAAATTTTAATTTTCGGCCGGAGCTAGGAACTAAAACATCCATGCAGCTCTGCTCAATCAAGTTTTAAAATATTTGAAATATTTTTCATATCAGCCATAAGGTTTACAACTAATTAAACTTTCAAAAATTACCTTCTTAGTCTTGTTTGATTCCACAACTACAATAATCTCGCCATCACCAAGCATATCTTCATATAACCTGTCTCCTTTCAAGTTTACGTTTAGTTCGCAAGTCAAAAAGGCGTTGGGCATATTGAAACACTTGAAATATTCAGTATAAAATATTTATAAGTATAATTATTTTTTATTTTATGTATTATAAAACTGAAAAAACTATTAAAAAATTCATTGATCACATTTAAACTTGGGTTGTACCGGATTAGATTTTTTGCAAATCTATACAAACTGCAAACGCTTAGATGATTAAATTGTTTATAAAGAGCGTTTTATTTTAACTAAAGTACAAGCAAAAATGAAAAATGTTAAAACAAAAATCCAAGCTAGATTTGGAAACATTTGGAAAAATGTCCAATTTCGTCAGAGGAGAATTTTACCAAATTCGACCAAATTCAAAAATATTCAAATTATTACATACCCGGTGCAAATTGAAACCGCTTGAACTGTTCATGTTATTATTATCATCTGATGAAAAAGCGAAAATTAATCATTTTCAAATCGAACAACAATTTTTTAATTTAGAAATACCTCTGTGTGATATTTCATCTCTTCCGAAAATCATCTGTAAATAAAAGTTTGATGTAATGAGGAAAAATTATTTTTAATTAATTTCATTTATGTCATTACTTTCAATTGCTCTTTTAACTTTTCTTCAAACTTCTCATCATTTATAAAATCACCAAATGAGCCATCATTGATGGAGAAACATGTTGTGTGACCGAGTTTGTGGTAAGCTATCATTGTTTTGTATAAAAAATCGTATTCCTCCTAGATTTAGTCATTTTTTTTAATTTATAAATTTATAACGTGTTTTATCTATATATATTTTGAAAAGAATCTTAAAATATCAATGATTGTTTGACAATAAAAAAACCTTAGTTTGAATCATGAAATTCCTGTGAGATCTGAGATGCTTCAAGCATCCAAGCACATCGACCATTCTTTTTTCTTTGCACTGTTCAATCAAGTAATCCAAACCTATGAAAATTCCCGTGGGACCTACGCCTGTCCTGTTGTTTGTTGTGATGGTGTCAAAATATTTATTTACCAAACTAATCGTCTGATCAGCTGTTTCATTGAATATTATCAATTGATATTTTGTATTAACTTAATTCTTAAAAATATATCAAAAAAAATTATTTTCTTATGAACTAACTCGCACTGAACGATGATGCATGGATTTTTTTTATAAACAGCCCTCCAGTTCTGCACAAATGATTTCATTTGGTGATGAAAGTTTAAAAGACCGCCTGTGTCGTCTGGAGTTTTTTCATCTGGCCAGTGGTTGAACCACATATGGGTTACTATAAGTTCTTGAGTATTCTTATGAAAAATAATTCGCATTGTTATTTTATTATTTTTAGATGATAAAAACTTTAAAACAAACTTCAATTTCACTCACCATTGTCATATATAATTTTCTAATTTCGTAAGTAGGCCATTTGTCCAAGCGAACACAATTTATCGAAATATTATTTTTGAATTGTAACTTATCATCATTTCTTTGAAGACAGTTAAAAAAATTATTTCTCTGAAATTAAATCCAGAAAATTAATAAAACATGATGAGTATTAATTTAAAAAGAACAAATCACATTGAAAGATTCTTCACTGGAACTCAACAGGACAATCAGGCAAACCTCTTTCTCACAAACCATCCGCCAGAAGTCATCAACTGTTTCTTTATTCAAACCTTTCAATATTGAATGACAGTATATTTAAAAATGTTTGAATTTTTATAAAATACTTTGATATACCTTACGCAGAAATAAAACTGTATTGACTTGATTTGTAACTCTGAAAAAAACAGTTATCTATGAAAAATGTAAAAAGTTTTCAATAAAAATTAGCGATAGGGTTATATACCAGGATCGTCGATGCGTTAATGTAGTCGGATGAAGGCTTATCGTTTAACATTTTCAACACTACTCTGTTGTGATCAACTAGAATTAAGAAATAAATTACTAAGTTTCAAAACATTTGGAAACAAATTCATAATCCTTACAAGGCAAAATGTCCTTGTGTAAATTATTTTTCTCATGTTCAGACCTTTCGGCGTAGGAACGACTCTTGCTACTTTGTTTCGGAATATTCTGAAATGTTTAAAAATTTATTGTTTGAATATTTTAAAATTTTCTTTAAAGCTATTTTATGTAACAAAATGATAATTAAGAATACTTGAAATTGTTCGTTGACTCCACGATCTGTTAACGATTTGTAATACAATTCTAACTGCTCTATTGCAACTAAGCTGGAACTTCCATTAAACCTGATGATGCCTTTCTTATGGCAACCGACGTTTCTTGTTTGGTCTTCAACAAAATGTGTTTAAGCAAATGTGTTTTTTTTTTGTAAAAAATTGAAAACTTCTATAATAGCATACTTGGTATGATTTCGTCGTCATCTTGGCTTGATCTGAATATATGGAACATTTCAAATAAATAGAAAAAGAATAAGAGAAAAAAAATAGTGAAAAAGAATTAATTTTCAAAAATATTTAAATCAAAACCGGATTAATAACTATTACGTTTTGTTTTTTTCTTGTTCTTCAAAAGACAGAAGCACACAACGAACACAATGCCACCAACGAGCAGTAGACCCAGCAGTGAACCAACCGCACCTCCAATAATTGCTTGCCTATTTGACGATACGCTTTGCTCTAAGGGGTTAAACACTGAATATTAATAATTCGCAAGCAATATAAAATTTGCATCTCTTGAAATGATTTTTTTAAATACAGGGAAAAAATATAATCAAGATTACTTATGCAGTCGTGTTCACCACTGTTCAAGTAGCCCTCTGTGCAGATGCAGTGGTATGATCCAGCAGTGTTTGAACAGGTTGAAATGCTGGCGGAACATGAATTTGTGGACAGTGAACACTCGTCGATATCTTAGGAGTATTTTATTGCTAAAATATTATAAATGATGAATAATTAAATAATTCTCACCTCTACAGTCATCGTTGATAAACATTTTGTGGTACCCGGCACGGCAGGAACATTCGCTGATGTTGGAGTCTCCAATGAGGATTGTTTGGCACGTGTCTTGTCCACACATGCCGTTGTTAACCGCGCAATCTGTCATCAAAATAAGCGTTGGAAATTATAAACGCATTTTCATAAAAAAACATTTCGGAACATTTTTGTTAACAAATGTCTGGCAAAAACATACTTCTCCTATTGCAGTCAAGTGAGTTTGAAATCCTAGATGAACATTCAGAAACTGAAAATATGAGATTATTACATAAATTTCCAAGTTCTTTCAACAATGAACAATTGTAAATATTATTTACCATTATAAACAGCAGAGTAACCAGGAGCCCCACAGAAATGAACATCACTCGAACAAGCAGCTCTACAATTATCTGAGGAGACGAGGTCGCCAAATAATGTGCTACTGCAATGACAATCCTTACCATTCTGCGATCATTTTTCATTTGATTAAAAACTTGTTCAGCGCGTAGGAATGAATTTACCAATTTTTTGGCAAAAATTGCTAATTTAGGGTTCATTTAATGCATAATTATTTCGAGCTTACGGTGACTCCGGCAAATAATGTAGTGGCACACTTCTCAAGACATTGATGCAACATAGTTACACTGCCTTGGTTACTTGATAACAATGCAACGTTTTGATAGCAACCCATGTACTGATCGACATAACCAGCTGAATTTGAAAAGTTTTTTTTTTAATTTTTATGAGGTTTGTTTTAAATTTAATTTCAAATTGTCAATTTACTTCGGTTATCTCCATATATTTCAAATTCTAACACGTTGACAATTTTATCCAATGTATTGGCAAACAGCACGACGTATCTTGTTTTTTGAAATGGCTGAGAACAATTTAGCAAATATGTATATCCCATTGTTGCATCGTACGAGGAGATTCCGCATTGGCTGTTAACAGCTGGTGCTGATCCTACAGTGTAATCCAACAGCAATCCAACTGAAAACTTGTTCATTCTTGTGACTATTGTGAAACCAGAACGTCAAATACAAATTCAAACATTTTCATTAAACACTATTGTATTTATACAAATGTTCAACTCGAAAACAAATATTTAAAATAAGTCTTAAATCTTACGATGAAATTATGAATTAAAACAGAATAATTTGATTACCATTTCCAACTTCAAACCCATTAGAATTTTTATTCTTGTTGACATTATGCAGCACAACATATTCCACCCTGTACAATCCAGACAAGTCAAACACCATCCAGTTGTAACTACCCCCTTCCAACGTATGTGCCAAACTCGTCAAATCCCCATCAACAGAATTGGAACATGGGTAAATACCATGATAATCATTGCAATGGACTGGTTTCTTATAGGCTAAATTGACCACTACCGCTTTGCTGTCTACGAGGAAACAAAGTTTTTAATTTTAAGAATTTTTTAAAATAAGTATTTTACTACAAAAATATTCAATTGTGTGTGTGTGTGTGTATGTATGGTGTGTGTGTGTCAGTGTGTGTATGCTTCTGATACATGGGTAAAACCGAAAAAAATATGATAGTTAGGAAATAAAATATTTTATTATAAAAATAAGTCTTACTGTTAAAATGTAGGAAAATTAAAAAAACCAAATCAAAAGCATGAACGTATAATCGGTGATAACTTGACATATTGAACGCAACGTTATTTTGTGTTTTGTATTTATGTGACATATTTTTTGGACTAGGAGGACTTTTTTTATTGTTCTGTGCTGTCTATTGTATTGCTCAGGTTTTAGTTTATATATTTGCATTGCAATGCGTTTTCTATTCATTCGTCATTATTTCTTATGCCAAAACCAAAAAGAAGCCAAAATAAACATTATAATTACACACACACAAATATATATATTATAATATATATATATATAGCGAGAAAGACACACACACACGGATACAATATTTTCAGTAGTGGAATTTCAAAGTATTTCTTGACTCAATCAGTTTATATTAATTATAGTTAAGCAAATGACATTAGTTTGTTTTCCGTGTACACCGTAATGCGTGTACATTCTTTGCCTTTGGATTATTTTGAGTACGTCTTTCAATATATCAAACGTTGCTCTTGTAATTTTTTCTAATTTACTAAAAACATTTAAGATATAATTTAACTGGCGAATGTTAATGCGTAAATGAATAAAAACAATTCCACAGGATTGCCACCAACTGACAAAAGGCACTTTTTAATCAATATCAGTGTCGTTAATCTTTTCATGTTGTCGAAAATCCCAATTTTTTTTAGAAAAATCAAATCTTGGATTAGTTTATGGAGAGCTGATTTTATAACGCGAGTTGTCTCCAAGTACTAAAAACTCTGACGAGCGTACACACCTTGTTATAAATGATGACACCTTCAAAAATCATTCAAACTTTTGTCATTTAAATTACGCTACTCCTAAATTGAAAAATTATTATTTTTATTGAATATCTTCAAAAGATGAAAAATGTATCAGAATTCATCACCGGTTGTTAAAAACATTTCAAGCGTACAAAATGGAGGACAATATCACAGAATCAAAATGCAACAATTTTACAAACGCTCATGAATTAAAAATATAAACGTGGAATATGTTGACGGAAAAATGTGATAAACTCGTGATGTAGGGAATGTAGAAATATAAAAAACACACACACAAACACATACATACAAGCACACACATATAAATACATCGATATATATATACATACATACACACACATATATATGTATATAAATATATAATTTCTAAGAAATGTCACAGCATTTCCAGCTTTGATTAGTTAGTTCATGGTTCGGTTTTTACTTTCGGAAACTAATAAAAACTAAAAATTAAACTAAAAAACTAAACTACTACTACTAATACTAAACTAAAAACTAAAAATGCCGTAATATTTATTGATAATTGTATGTACAAGCCTCAACCATATATATATATATATATATATATATATATATATTATATATATATATATATATATATATATGTATATGTGTGTGCGTGCGCAGCTAAAAAAAAGCATAAAACAAAACAGACAGTTTATTAGCACGTGCTATCAGTATCTAACTAAATTCCGTTGTTTCGGTAGATTTGACAAAACTTTCCATACTCTCGAACAGTAGGGAGTCTAAGTGGTGATGTGAGGTGGTGATGATGATAGAGTTAAGGTAGAACGTGGTAACTGGTGATATAGACGATGATTGATGGCGACGATGAAGTTGTGATAACGATTGATGACAAAAAAAATAATAATTAATATTCGGAATGAGATACGAGAGCAATGAAATAAGTTACCGCAATCATAATGATGATATGTAATGGTAAAATAAAGAACACAAATAAAACATCAATGACAAATCGTTTAGCTACAAACTGGACCGATGAATTTTAGAAATATTAATTATTAGTATTGATTAACATTTAGTTATCAGGTTATTAATAATTAATAAATTATTATTTACTACTAATCACAGCGCTTAACAAAAATTTATACATGAAATAAATTGACAATTAATTAATTAGTTAAATTATTCACTTGAAAAATTCTTCAAAACTTACTTAGGAGGTTTCACTCTCTCGGGATTGACATCTTTCAGCCAGTCAGAACCTAAAGCCTCTTCAGCAGAAATTCGGATAAGTGGATCGACAACCAAGATGCTGTCTAGCAGATCCAGGGCAGCGGCTGGCACACTAGGTAGGGTAAAAAATGCTATGTGGATGAATCGGCAGCACATCGCATGCGTTGTGTTAATACAATTTATATAATAAAAATAGTTTAAATTATATCGTTCTTTTGAGTTTATTCTTACCACCAAAATTTAACAATCAAATCTAACAAATTCAGCTACATCGTATAAAATTGAATTTTTATTTAAACAGCATTCGCATTCTAAAAAAATGACACAATGGATCATTGAGCAACAATTTTTCGACCATCTTTGACATTAGCCATATTCAACATCTCACCCATCTCCACTGACTGCATTCACCATCTAACCTAACTCCACCCTACCTCGGCAAAGGCTGAAAGGGTCTCTATTACACTTTCAAAGTTCAGAGGAGTCAACAACACACAAACAGTTTATATGAATACGACTTAAAGGACGTATCACACACAGGGGAGCATTTTGTCATATATATTCGAGCCAGGATCAGACGTCCTTAACCAAATGGGCCATCAGGCCGCCGAAAAATAAATCTGTCAAGTTACACATTAGCAATAAAACAGGTAGAAATACTAACGATCTGAATAGCTTTCTAACGTGTCTTTGACAGACTATGGCCTGCTTCTGATCGGGTTGCGATGGCGAGTTGGCATTAGAGGAATGGCGAGATGGAGGAGGGCCGCATAATTCGTAAATGTCATTCAGTTGTTCTAATTTGTTCTCGGAAATAAAGACGTCCGTTCCATTGAACGTCCCACCGATGATGCATCTGGTAGAAAACATGGCAAATTGATGGCAAAAACTACTTTTACTACTACTACAAAAATTACTGCTATGTTTACAACAACAACTACTACTATTACTACTACTGCTGCTCCTGCTTCTACTACTACTAAACTGGAAGATCGCAATAAGTAACTCAAACTTCAAAAAACATCGTCACCATCATCATCATCATCACAATAATCACCACCATCATCATCACAATCACCACCGCCATCATCGCCGCCACGATCCCCACCGCCACCATCCCCACCAACACCATCACCACCAACACCATCACCAACCCACAGCTCCAGACGTCAGCAACCATTCTATAATCTTCACTATCCTGCAGAACTTCAGGCGCCCGGTAGTTCAAACTTTCCCCCTGTTAGCAGTGACGTCACATGTCATCATCACCATTATTTTAGCCATTATCATTTTAATCACTGTCATCAACTGTATCATCGTAGTGATCACTATTATAAATACATAGTCATAAATTGACGTTACATTCAATTCTGAAGTGGCACCTTTATGGCTATTATTATAGTCTGTCATCATCATATCATCATCACCAGTGAATATATTGAAATTGCCACCATCACCATCCTCAATAATAACAACGGTTGCTCATCATATATCATCACCATCATATATATATATATATATATATATATATATATATAAATTATTATAAGAACACTTGTATATCATCACCATCATATATATATATATATATATATATATATATATATATATATATATATATATAAATTATTATAAGAACACTTGTTTAGCAACTTTTATAGAACTACCCAAAGTCGCTATCCAACATAACCAAAAAAAATTTTGTGTCCATTTAAGTGATCAAACAAAAACATAAATATTTCGAAAATAAACATAAGTATACATTGTAAAAAGAACTAAAACAAAACAGATAAATCCTTTAAATTCATGCACAGATGCACACATATACTTTCGACCATACCTAATCACTCAAAGTAATGTAACAACCATATAAGAACCAAACAGCAAACATTTTAAATCAAATCATAGATACATTCATCCACACTTTATCCACATCGATCACACACAATTACGCTCAGAAAATGCACGATAACATATAATTCAGAACAACCAACAGATAAATACCCAGCCACCAGCACAATAATTATAAATCGATTCAAATTATTAGAAACACACGAAACACACACATCTCCTCACATCCAAAACACATTCAACGTAAGCACATCCCATCATAAAACACCCACATACATTACGTACTCGACAACTCAATTATATAATTAAAATGTAAATAAAAAAACAGCATAAAACAAATGAATGTTACGTTATCGATAAGCTACATTCATAAACAACAAGAGCAACATGCAATATACTATTCACAACTTCAATTAATCTTCAAAACAGGTGTGTTTTCAATTCTCTCCTAAACTGCAACAGTGACATCCTGGTCGACGTTTGACGCATGGAAGACTGTTCCATATTTTCGTACCACATACAGCAAAGTTACGAAACCCAATCTTCAATTTTGACACCCGATCTGTCAAGTTATTCTGATCGTTTGATCTTAAGACAAAATTCTGAGCAGTCATATCTTTGAGTGTAAACATCTCCGTCAGATTTCGTGGTGCCAAACCATTTAAACACTTGAACATTAATAAGCAAATTTTAAAAACAATCCTCTTTTCAATTACCAACCAGTGCAAATCCTTAATCTATGGAGTCACGTGATCATACTTTCATATATATATATCATACTTTCATATATATATATATATATATATGCCATCATATCATCATATATATATGTCATATATATATATATATATATATATATATATATATATATATATATATATGTCATCATCATCACCATCATCATCACATATCATATCACATATCACCATCATCACAAATCATCATCACCATCATCATATATCATCACCATCATATATATATATAACATCATCATATATAATCACCATTGAAAATATTGAAATTGCCTCCATCACCATCCTCAATAATAACAACGGTTGCTCATTCTTCTTATGGGGTTTTTCTTATACAATTATTTATTATTAAACGGTTCAGAGTTACTTGAGAAGATTCAATACAACATACACTAAGATGTAATGAGACAAACTCACCGACACTCATACATTAGTATAGTTACTTTTCATTTTTATTTCACTACATTTCCCTCTTTAATACTCCTTATAGGTATCAACCACACACACACACACACAAACAAACGAACACACAAACAAACAAACACACAGTGTATGCAAATAAACTAAATCAACGCATCACCACACACACACACGCACACTGTATGTGACAGGTGTATGGATCTCTTCTTTTTGTATTCGAACCCAGTAACTGCAACATTAATGCCAGGCATCTTAACATCTTAACCATCAGACCACCGAGTCGTCCATATTATACAAAGCATAAGATTGATTAATATAGTGGTGTAGCAGCCTAACCTTGCTAACGTCAGGGAGACTGTCATTCGCTGAAATCAGTCGACTGAAATCAAATCCCGTTAACTTAACCTGAAACCTCGTGTGAAAAAAATTAAATCATTTATTAAAATTTTTAGAATTAATAAATTAAAATTAATTAATAAAATAATAAATTTCAATTTATAATTTATTACAAAAATTATTACTATTGAATTGAAAAAATTAAAAACTAATGTTATTATCGTTACTATTTAAGTTGGTCAAATTGCATCATCAACTATCACAATTTAATTTTTTACCATCAATAGCATCATGGCTGCTGTACAAAGCTAAATTAACACCAAAACATGTCACATATTTAACCAACATATTAGGATATTAATATCCAATTTTTACTTTTGACTGATGAGTATGTTCGAAGGTTTCAGGTCCATATGGAGGATATTATTCTGGTGGCAGTGATAGAGACCTGTTGTTCATGCCATTCGTATTTATTATTACTAATAATAATTTATCGTTAATTATATTAATTATATTAATAAACATACAGCACCAAGTCATTTTGACTAATATAACAACTAATACAGACTAAAATACCAAACATTAATTAAGTTCATCTAATGTTAAACAAATATTATCATTTTTAAAATAACCATTTCATCATCAATGGGGTTAGTAACCTTGAAACAATTGCTTTGAGAGCGAGGCAACCTGATGATCCATCAATGATATCAATCTTGAATCAAGAAGGCTTCTGAGGTCGAACTCCAAATACTCAAACACAAGATAGAACTTTCCTGTGGTGGCAGTGAGGTGTGTAATGGTTGAGGTGCCTACTATTCATGCAGCTGCAGTGACGGGGTTCGAACGCAAAAAAATTCCCTGCCTATCACAGACAGTGTGCAATGATGGTAGGGACATAACTAATAGAAAAATGGTCCCAATATTAAAAGCAGACGAAGTTGAAATAATTCTCTAGATGATCAAAAAATAATGACAAATAAAAATAAAGAAGCCACCAACCATTGTTATTAACTACATCCAACAATGACATAATGTTCTGATGGGGTGTTAACTTTTTTAACATAGTGGCTTCGTTGATGTCAGATATGGAAAGGACTTTATGGTCCTGACAAATTTCTTTTATTGCAGCTAATTTATCTGATTCAACATAAGGAGAAAGTTTTAAGAGAATATGTAAAAAAATTGACAAAGAAAATAAAATTGTTGAAATGTAAAATGACAATTTTTTCATTCACTGCAATTAAATCAACAATTGACAACAAAATCTGAAATCAAGAATGTGGAAAAAATAAAAAAACAAATAATTTTAAACATAAAACTATATCAACAAATCAACAGAAACACTGAAAAACAAAAATATTAGGACACTGATTTTTTATTTCTTTCATAATCAATTCTTAGACATCAGCAACACGCACATTGACAGGAACATTTTTGCATTTAAGCCGAGTCACTGCAACAGCAGAACCAGACATCTTTTCACCTATACACCATTTTGCTACCCAGGTATAATATACTACATGGAAAATAAAAAAAAAAACATAAATAATTTGGAGCTACACAACATACCATCCTCTTTGTACTTCACCATGTAAACAGAGCCATGTAAGCCACAAGAAGTATCACTGATGAATTTAAATGCTGGCAATGATAAACCATGTGTAAGTGTCATTTTGAGCATCATCTCCTCAAACTGAGGTTGTTCTTCCTTATTCTTATAACTGCCTGTAGATTCGCCACCAGACGTTCCACCACGACCAGGACCACGATGACCACCATCATCATCATCATCAGTTCTTCCTCTTTTTTTACTGGGCTTGTCTGTCAAAAGATTTAGCAAATTCAACTTTTTTCACTACATTCCTTAAGCTTCTTATGTCATAAGCTTGATTTTTTTTAGACTTAGAGATAGGGTTTTTTTATACTTTTTATAATCTCATGTGATATGTATTATATATAGTTATAATATTAAAATATAAAATAAATTATATAAGCAACTCTAACACAAAAAATAAAAAAAAACTAAAAAAAGAATTCAGAAAAGAAAGAAGACACAAAAAAGCTGCTAAATATTAAATTAAATATTAGTTATTTATTAATATTCTATTATATAACATAACTAAAACTAAATTTATAAATAAAAAATTATTAAACAAATAAATTATTAATAATGTTTCTGATATAAAATATAATTTGAGTTTAAATTTTAAAATTAAAATACCTGATCTGTCCATGTTGCGAACTTTGCCGGACAGTAACACAAAATTGGAAAATTATTATTAATATCATAAAAATGAAAACTTATTTCACATTAATGATTAATAAAACGCCCGGCGAATTTAATTTAAAACAAGCGCCAATTATTACTTGTGACGTCTGCCTATCCTTGAGGTAAAAAAAATTTCTGGAAAGTGCTTTTGAACCATTTTGGAACCTATGAAACTTTGATTTGAGGAATTGATTTATTTTTCTTTATATAATCTTTAAAAATTTAATCAAGTTGTTAAAATTAAAGATACGCTCACTACTTGTATTCAATTTATAGTCAGTTAATAAACTACAAGTCAAGAGGTAGAGGGCAGAATCTGAACAACCTTGATGGGCGGACCAAAATGTTAAAAATGTTTAAATTTTAAAATTTGACGGGGGAGCCGACAAACTAACCAAATTGTTACTAGCGTTAGCTAAAATTAGGCGTTAGTGATCTTTTTTTGGTTCATCACGTAAATTTTTGGTTGATTTTTGACCAAAAACTGAGATTTACTGAATTTTAATAAAAATATTCTCACAAAGGGGAGTATGGTCCCCTTAGATCCACTATTGCATGAATCTGGTACAAAATTCTCTATATCAGCGTCATATTCCAAAAAAATCGAGCTTATAGTGTGTGCTCAGTAATTCAGTAATAACTATTCGGTCGATTCAAGATACTATATATCAAAAACGTCTGGATTTGCATTGCAAAATCATACATTTTCATACTTATGTGATTGAGTATTGAATGAATCTAGTAACAATCTACAAGCTTAATTCACTATTTATGCGCCACATACCTAAAAATAATTGTGTTATAGTACGTAGTTCATAATGATAACTATTCGTGTCACAAAACTAAAAAAGGATAAATATTTATGTCTAAAAACTGAGTTTTACTGGCTTGTAATAACAACACTGCCCACAACGGGGGGACATCTGGTAAATGTGTGTACTTGTAGTCGTAGTATCGTTATTCAAGAAAAAATGTATTGCGTGGTCATCGTCTGAGCTTCAAGTAAAAATGGAATGTTTGGCTGGAATCCCTCTGTTATATTGTAAAACTTACTGGAAATCTTTGACTTCACTCATTTATTACGTATTACACACAGTTTCAAATTTATTTTTCACATAATTCAGCCCTGCTAGACAAAACCCCAAAACTTTTTCAGCATTTTATACTGTTTGTTCCGTGCCGCTGCATTGGAAGTGTTCTGTCATTTGCCTTCTTATGTGATCAGCTTCAAGCATCCTAAATTCCACGATTCAATTTCGTTATTGTCATTGATTTTATATTCGTTGCAGCAGAGCAGACACCTTTAGGCAAAGCAAATACGCATGACTTTGCAATGCGCCAAGATGCAATTGCAATTCGCTAAGTATAGGCCTGCCATGGAATAAATTTCAGTGTAAGTGCACGGAACACAACCATTATAATTCGCTGATTTCCAAAGCATCAGCTAAGACCGTCCCAGATATAACAATACGAATGTAATAACTTCAAACGCATGAAAAGAAATCGTTAAATTTTTTTGATTTATAGTGTGATCTTGCAGTTCTGCTTTGAAATCTTTCGCAACGTTTCGAATCAAATAATTTTGAATTCATGGTAAAAACTTCTTCATCTATGTAATGCATAAATGAATAGATGACATGAAATACAAGAATACAGCTTTCAAACAAAATTTCCTTATTACAAATGAAAGGACGACGTTGTCTCAATTTCTTAAGAGTGTAATTTGAATACGAATTCTTTCACAGAAATATTGAAAATCTGTAAAATCTGTGATGTACGTCTTGATTATAAGACAAAAATTTGCACAGCTGCTTTATGAAATGACATGACATGCGATACTTTATAACATTTTCAAAATCGATATAACTAGCGCTAAATTAAACAAGATCATAATTTGATGTTTTCGCAAAATGTGAAGAAACTCAGCTGAATTTGACTGATTGGTAGCAAAGGACTTGTCAGCGTTGACAGATCGATGAGTGTTGTTGAAATCATCCTTAAAATGATCCTTTTCCTTTTCAAAATTGTTGCGATGAGTTGAAGAATTGAAAGTGTGATGATGAGGATGGAGATGAGGATGGAGATGTGATTCAGATTGTTGTTCATCGTCTTTCAAATTGTTATCACCAGCGTCAAACATTTTCTTTTGATGCTCCGTCCGATGGTTCAACCAATTTCTTTCCGATTCTTTTTCCTCAACTTTAATGGTTTTAAAAAATCGAAATTTTTTTTTCTCAAAAATTTCAAACTTCTTATTATAGATCATTCCTTAATCATTTACATCACCACTGCCATCAACATCCCCACCACCATTCACATCACCATCCACATCATCACCACCATCCACATTAACATCATCATCACCAGTCACCATCCGCATCTCAGACAAAGCTGTCAATAAATCACCATTAAATGCAGAACTGCAACTTTGCATCTGCCACGACGATGATAAGCATCTACATTGAAAGAAAGAAAGTAATAGTTTCATCGATAGCCATTTAAGCTGAGATGACAACTTCAATACATATCAACAACTACAACAACAACAACAACAACACAATAACAACAACAAAAACATCATCAACAACAACAATAACAACGCATCAAAAACACTTCAAAGAGTACTAAATATTTCTAGGTTTTAGTTATCTCTGAAAAACTTTATCAACAATTCTGCCATCTTTTAAACCAGTAACAACAAAATTTTTATTATTTATTTTATTTTAATTATTTATAAATTTATTTTATTGTTATTATTATTATTATCCATTACCAGCAATTTTATTTTTGTTTTTTTTATCTTTCCGTATAATTCCCTTCCTAGCCTATCTCCAAGTTATAACCAACAGCAAAAAACACGCGAATCAACGCATCGGACACACCGCACGCCATGGAGGAGATTCTCTCTGCATTTGAAGCCGGTCAATGCGATAGCAGTGCCGCTCACCTTAACCATTAAACCATTGTTACGCGTCTTTTAAAGTTTTAATAATGATATAGTCTCGTTAATAAACCATTCAATTTTCAACCTCTGAGGAATATCTAAGAGAAAATAATAATAATAATAGTAGTAGTAGTAGTAGTAGTAGTAGTAGTAATAATAATAATAATAATAATAATGCGCCGAACATCGGCCACTTACTTCTATGAAGCCGCACGACGTGTGAGGTGGTGCCGACGCTGTTGCTGGCCAGTAGCGTGTAGTCCCGGAAGTGCTTCACACTCGCCCTCCTCATGAACAGTTTCATTTCCAGGCTGCCGTTGTTCAAGTCCTGTCACGTGGCGAATGTGGGTGAATGGACGAATAATGGATGGAAGAAATTGAGGTGAATTTTGTTTATATATATATATATATATATATATAATATATATATATATATATATATATATAATACAACATAATACAATAAATTAACCATTATTAACGATTAAAAACACTTTCTAAAGCGAAAATCACATACAAGTGACGTATATACAATACAGAAATCAATTAAATTAGCCATTCAAATGGATATACTCCAAAGAAATATGTTGAACTGAACACAATGAACAATGTTGATTTGAAAAAAAGAAATAAATTCAACTGTCGACCTACCATTACAAGAGTCCAAAATTCAAAAGCAAGTTGTCCTTCATGCAAATTTATAAGCGTTCCATTTTCGTTCTCTATCGTCCAGAACAATGACGTCATCTCTGGCTTACCAGTCACGTGACATTTCAAATGAACGTTCAGTGCACTTAAGCGAGATTCCGCATGGAAACAAATAATTATCGGCTTGTCTGAATTTGTGAATTATAGGAGGAAAGGTGAATTGTAAGTATTTGATGAATTATGAAAAGTTTATTACGTATGTATATACGAATCAATATTTTGTGAAGTATAAAGTTAAAAGTACTTGTCAAATGAAAAGTTGAGCGAGGATGTATGTTTATGTTAGGCAAAGTTAAGTGAAATTTATATCAAAAAAATTTACATAAAATGAAAAACATCAAAGTTTACATCTACAATATTAAAAAGATAATGGGATAATTCATTTGTCAGCGAGTTAGCTCAGTCGATAGAAGTGCCATGTCTCGTGCAGTTACGCTTTGGCCTGGTTCGAATACTGTAGGTCCGATACTCAAAGGCTATCACACGCCGTAAGTGTATGATGCGGTGCTTGCGTACATAACTCGCGTGTGTGCGTACGTCGTTTATTGGGTGTACAGTCTTCGTGGCACGCAGGTTTGAATACAGGAATGGTATGTAAGCGATTATGCATATGTCAGAGCTGAAGGATGAAGAATAATAAAAAATTATTCACCTGTGTCAGTCTTGATATATTTAGTCGCATCTTAATTTTTTAAACAAAATCATGCAGATGAAAGAAAAGGTTCCTTCTTTTTCATCACATAAAAAATAAAAAAGTTTTAAATAGAGGAAAAAACAGGTACAGCTTAAACGTGGCAAAAGCATAAAAACAAAACTGAACAAACAGGAAAAAAAATAAAAACAGGAGAACGCCTGCAACTTTTTAAACTAAAATGTTTACAGAGGGAAGATCATAAATAAGAAGAAGAACGGACACAGAACGTTGATCAGAGCAATGGCTGATGTGTCTGAAATCAAACCAGAAACACTGGCTGAACATCTGATTTGTTTGTTGTCGTCTTCAGCAGTGAAGAACATTCGGTCAGACCATCTTTCTGTTCTCTGTACGATTCGTCTCAATCCCTGTCCATCGATCGATGTGTTTGTGTTTTTGTTGTCTAACATTCAGTGGTACAATACTATTTTATTCAAAATTTTTAAAAAATAATATTTAGTTTATTTTTTTCTATTCGTTGAAAAAGTTTCGTTTGAACGACACAACAAACAGTTCAAAAGTCCAAACAGTGTGCCAAACAGACAGAATAAAAACATAAAATTCGTGCTTTGCAATATGCTATTCACGTCAGGGTGAAGTAGAAACTTGCATGAAACAAAAGATAATAACTTGCAACGTAAAATTTGCATCATAAAATTTACATAAACGCCTGCCAACCTTCTGACCAACGAGCGTGAAGTTACTGAGCACGTGGAAGAGGCCAGTGACCTCGTGACCTGAAAAATAAAGGGACATGATTGGTGGAGGAGTGCCACCAGTGCAAAAACAAGTGATCAAGGTCGGTCGATTTTCTATGAAGGTCAATGTCAGCGGAAATGATGATGACGATGATGGCGATGATGACATGCAAAATGAGTTGGAATGAGATTTTGAATGGTTGACATTGGTGTTGCTGTTATAATGTATTGACGAGCAGTTGTTTAGCACGAGAAAATTGTGACATTCATCTTTCTTTTCGGTGTCAGGGCATCTGTGTAAACCGGCGTTGATGTCATTTCTGTTGCTGCTACTAACGTTCCCGTTGTTGATGTTGTGATTGTTGTTGTGGTTGTTGTTGTTGGTGGTGCTACTGTTATTAAGATGCAAAAGATGCGAGTCAGCGCGTATCTCAATGCTCTCTACCCTACCTGGATGTTGGGTTGTTGTTAATCATCTTTGTAATAATTTTCATGACAAATATTGTTTTTAACTAAACAAATTTTTATTTAAAATTTTTTATTCAAAACTAATAAAGAGAAAATCTCATTTGTATTAATGTGAATATTGACAAATTTTAACGCACTATTCTAACTAATAATATTTCAAAACTATAAAACATTGATAAGACCTTAAAAGTATATTTAAATTATATCAAAATCAGCGTATGACAATAAAGCATAACGCCATGGAATGTCAATAAATCCGTTGCATGATCAGACCTTTGACGAAAAGATAGTGTGTGACAGAAGCCAGATTTGTAGATCTGTCTCCTTTTATCAAACATGTATAGTTGCCCGTGTCAAACAAGGAAAGATCTTTGAAGGAAAAAACATTTGGGATGGATAAAAATGGGTTAAGTGAAAATGGGATAAGACGGACATTTGCGTGTAAATATAACACTACACTAGTAAATTAATCAAATTAGCATCGTATTAATGTTTAATTATTTATCAGTGAATCAAATAGTAAATCTATTATCATATTCTCAATATTTCATCACCATTATTATCATATCATCTCTCTCTAAATAAATGGCTTAGTTTGATAATCAATAATTAATTTAATTAATAATTAAATTAATTAATAATAAATTAATAATCAGTGCCTTAGGAAAAAACTTTCCGTGAGAAGTTAGATTTTTTTTTCAAAAAAATTTATGTTTTTATTTGCTTATTCTACATTTGTTCATAATATCAACGTCAAAACATGTATTCTAATTTAACAAAAAGTTGCCATTTTTACGCAGCTGCAACTATTTATAACCAAAAATCATAAAATTTACAGAGAGAGGGGGTGGGTTTCAGCCCCAAAGGCTGCCACGGCAACACCTCTGATGACAATTGCTACTTACTATGAATATGTAGTCTAAGTTTGTATTTATGGTGCCGATCTGTGAGGTGCACGTTGAACCTAGAGGTTTGTAGAAAGGGAGGGAGTATGTTGCTCATTAGATTCACTGCCGTCTGCCAGTTTAATTAATTAATTAATCAATTAATTAAATAGTTAAATAATAATAAATTTATTAATTTATTCATAATTTTGATGTTATCACGAGCATCCCCATAGAAGATGTTCTAATGCACTAACCACTTCATGCTTCTGGTGCTTCAGCCAAACGGCTGGATACTGGAACATGCTGTAACTGTCGTCACCGTCAAACTCGCACTCCAACACTATGCTCTGGTTGGCGTTCAGTACCAACACCTGACTGATCGTTCTCATTGCTACCACTGGTAGAGGTGACGACGACAATGACGACGACGATGACGATGAAGATGACGATGAAGATGACGACATCATTCTTGATATCTGATTAGCTAGAAACGATTTTGAAAAAATATTCATTGAGATGATGTAAAGTTATCTAAATAAATTTTAAAATAGCAACCCAAAAAAATCTGTTGACGTATTATACATCGATTGGAAAAAGTGAATATTTATCCGCACATACATGGTCAAATAATAAAACAAAATAACTGCATCAGTAACGTAACACTACTTAAAATCAAAATTAAATTTCTAAAAAATAGATAGAATTGTGAAGACACAGACCCCATCTTGCAAACGCATCACACACAACACACATACAAAACACACACAAAACTCGCTCTCTAAACTTGCACACAAACAAACATACACACAAACACAAATTCAGATTCAGACGCATAGGCTGGGCATGACTAAATTCCTACAGCATCTCTCATGAGCTGATTTCGGAAGCAATACACTAACACACAATCAAACGCATACATCCAAACACACACACACACACACACACACACACAGACTCCATGAAAAACACAATTTTCTTTTAAAAGGAAAGAAATCAAAAGTAGCGGGCAGACAGGCAGACAGACAGAAAGGCAGACAGACAGGCGGACAGACATACATAACGTCGATAACATCTCAATCTTGCCACCTCCAGTCTTTTTATAATAAATTATGACATCATTTTCATCCGACTTAGCATTTTTGCTTCCAACGAATGCAAAATCAACCAATAAAAAATGCTAATCTCGGTTAATATTATTATTTAATAACTATTAAGTTAGTTATTAAACTGAATACGATTTTATACAAACTTAGACATTTTGAAATAAGATAAATAATTAATTTTAATGATTATTAACGACTAATTAATGAGATTAATATTAAATTACTGTGATGAATAAAATAAAAATACAACGTTTAATTTTAAAAATACTGAATTAAATCAAATCACACGCAACATTGAAAAGAATTTTCTTAAAAAAATATATGAACACTAACTTGGTTTGATTAAGGAAAAAATAAAAAAAATAATAAAAATCCTAAAAAGTTTAATTTTGTTTACAACTCTTGTATCCATTGCAAAACTGTCAAATAAAGTGAATGACAGAAACTAGCTCCCGTTTGAAATAATTGAATAGACGGCACGCAACACTATTCATATTTCATTATCTGCACCTCATATCGATTGAGAGAGCCAATATATATTGCTTTGCATGCATCTTCATTGTTCATTCGTTCTTTCGACTGTTTTCATGTACCATGTGAGTTATAAGTCTGCTAGCAAACTATTCTATTGAGTTAATTTATTTTTGCAAGTTAATGGCACACACACACACGCGCTCAAACATACATACACACGCGCGCATACACACACGCGCATACATACACACGCACATATACGCTTGACTATTGAAAAATTACAACACATTAATTTGTGAATATCTTGTCGAGAAAAAGTGTGCATCAAAACTTTTAAAATGTACCTACATTCAAATTTGTACTTTTTATTCAAATTTTGCAAAACAATGCTGTTCTTTTAAGAGAGTTGCAACAATTTTAAACCAAAATTTGTTACATTTAACCTTAGTCCTAACGAAAATGTCTACTGCGGGGTACTTCAGCTGCTCTATTTGGCTCCTCTCCTTGACTCCGCCTATAAATTCAATACAGTTTAAACAAGATAAGTCTATTGTTTCTAACAATGGGATTTGTTTTCTTAATACAATAACTATCATAGGTTTCAAGCTCGATCGTAATTTATTTATCTATGGTTTCAAATTCGAGCAAAATTTAATTGAATATCAATGTTTTACAATTCGATCGTATAAATCTGTTGGGAGAACACGTGAAAGCACGTTGGTGATTATTTTGATCATTAATTCCATTGATATTTTCGGCTATGGCTCATTCGGTAAAAGTTCCTTTAGCCTCAACAGACGTTTCTAAACAAGATTCTGACATATTTGGCATTAGAGCCTTGGCACACAAAATTGAAATGGGAACATTCATGAAAGATTCTTCGAAAGTGAGTATTTATTTATTTCACTTTTTATAAATCAAATTTTTGATGAAAATTTGAAAAAAAATTAAACCGATGAAAGTGATACAAATAAATTTTTTATATCGCGCATCATGAAATCTTTCAAGTCTCTAGTTCAATGAGCGTATCTCTGTTAAGTTTTCTTTATGTTATGTGATAATGTTCAAATAATTATTTCACTTTTGTTTTCACAATGCCGCCGATGTCGTTATAAATGGAATCACCAACTTGTGATAAATTGACATTCAAATCAACTGTATTTTCTTAGTGATCTGTCTGAAATATTAATTATTTTTCACATTTACAAGCTTGTGACTTTCACACATTGTACATTATTGGTTTATACGTGAAACCAACTTGTGATTAATTGACATTCAAGTCAATTGTATTTTCTTAGTGATCTGTCTGAAATATTAATTATTTTTCACATTTACAAGCTTGTGGCTTTCACACATTGTACATCATTGGTTTATACGTGAAACTTGTATGAAACTTTACATTGATCACTGAGCGTATTTTATATAAGCTAAATGGTTTTGAACCGAAAAAATGCATTTGCCATTGCCATGCCTGAACCGTCAGATTGATCTAGCTATCTTGAATATTATTTTTAAATATTTGTAAATTACCAAACATTAACACCAAACACTAAGATTCAGAAATTTGTTTTTTTAAATATATTAACATGCCTAGTGTGCAATTAGAATAACGCAATTTTTAAAATTTACTTATGCGGTTTCCTTGTGTCTGTTTGTTTAAAATCTGTCAATATAATTGTTTTTCTTGGTAAAATTACTTTACATTTATGTTTTAAAATTAACAATGTAATTACAGAAATCAATAAAAACAATAATTCGAGTTGTATTAAATTTAAGCTAACTTATTAAGCTATTGAAAAGAATGCAATGTCGAATGTCGACTTTCCGGGTTAAAATTTTCGAGTCCAGACTACGGATATCGGGCCCAAAACTTTTTTTTAAACTTTCAGATCATAATTTCACTTGAATATCACCACTAAATGAAAAATACTTTAAAAACACTTAAAATAAGTCAATGCAACAGTTTTTATTAGTAAAATAACATTACATTTATGTTTTAAAACGTACTGAAAGAAAATTAGGTGAATTTATACAGATTTTTAGAGATTATTTTTAATATTTCGTCATTTTTTAAATATGTTTCATTATAATTTATATTTTTCATTAAAAAATTAAACGTCGACGGTGTTACTAGATCGATCCAAGAGAGTATTTCAAAACTATTAGAAAAGAATTCGATCAAAATGGCAAGGAAGAAGATCTGGACGATATGGACAAACTCATGTTGAATAGCAAAAAGCCCAGAACTCGGGAGAACTTTTTCGAGAAATTTCTCAGGTCTCAAAATCTTAAAAATTTGGAACCAGACTTCGTTTCGATCCTTCTAGAGCGAGAATACTACAATAAACAAATTCGTCGTCCACTCAACAACAAAAAAAATTCTAAAAATATTAATAAATAATATAATTTAATTATTATTTGCTATATTAAAATATCATTACAATTATATTATTAATAACAGAGTAGTATTTTAACCAGATCTAAAATTTATATTATAAATATTTTTAAATTGTTAATTTATAACTAAATTAATATTTTTTCATTTTTTTGGTCATAAATAATGAAAGAAAATTCAAAAATTAAACATTTTTTGTAACTATAAATTTTTTGCAGCACATAGTTCATTTAAAAACTTGTTAGAGATTGAAACATTATCAGTTTTTACATTTTCCATCAGGCAGACATTAAATTATTTAATACACTTAAACACTTGGAAATGTTTCGTAAATCCACTTCCGTGAGATCTTAGGTTTTTGAAAATTTTAATGTTAGCCCTGAGATACATCAGTCCGTAACCGATCCATGGTGGTAAGTGCGGAATGTATGCCACACAAAACCATGAAAAAATAAAAATGAAAGCCGAATTACAAGCGGTCATTAGAATAATACAATCAACCTTCGAAAGAATATCACCTAACGAAGAGACAGTTGAAACAGCTACACAAAAGTCTGAAATTATTCTACCAGCGTATTCACCTGCGGATGATGTCGAGTGGGATGCACGTGTTAACTGCGACACACGTGCTAACTACGTTGCACACGTTGATGAAGATGATGACGAAAACGATAATGAAGGTTTTTGAAAAATGTCTAGAAGTTGACAGTAATAAAAATACTGAAACTTTTGATATTCAGTGGGACTACTACTCGAATCTTTCTGTGAACAACTCACCTGTTTTCATTGATAAGAACGACAGCATTAAACTAAAGATTAATAGCGTCAGTAAAGATGATTTTAATGTTAATGAGATTATGAATTCAGGACAAGAATTTGGGACAGATAATGTTTCTAGTTTTGAGCTGACGCTTCCAACATGCAACCGGAAAAAAAGCTTTGTTCTCATAAACCTGGATGATGACGTCAACGACGGCTTCATTGCTAATGAGGATGAGATTTGCATCGCTGCATCACTGATCGACAACAAAGTTGTCAACGATTGACCTTACAACATGCATCAAAGGTACCCGTCTGGTCATTCTACACATAATAGACTCAATAGAAAGGGCTTTCCTTCTATTGAGTTTTGTCTGAACTTGAAACAAGTGCAGTCAAAATCTGTAAAGGACCACAACAGCTATCTATGGCTAGAGAAACAGAAACGATGGAAACGTGGTGTGACCCGAAAAGGAATAACGCAGGTTTCAAGAGCAAAGACCTGGTCTGGTTGTACAACTTCGGGCGCAGAAAAAGACATTAACCGGCGATAATCCCAAAGAATTGGAAAGGTCGGTACAAGATCACTAACGAGATAAATGACGTGATATACAAGACCTATGATTCAGGAAGAAAATGGACAAAGTTGAAAATTATCCATTCGAATATAAGTAACGCCTGTATTAGGGTCTAACAGGCTAAAATGGGGGTAATATTATAACCACAGAAATGATCGAATTGTTCTGCAATCATTCAATTATTATTACTTTCGTAATCATTGGGTTATATACCATAGATTGTAAAATTGTATCTATCCTAAAACAGGGAGTATGTCCTAAATATGAGGTTTCTAAGGAGGTTTCTAGTCGAGGTTACAATCGAAGAAAAAGCGAAGTCATAAATGGGATTTATGTAGTTTATGTATTAGTTTATTTTTTCTATTATTGTTGGTATTCAAAAAAACGTTCAACAAAGTTTGCGTTGAAGCAGTTGTGTTCATCCGTCGGAAATCTTGAACCTAAGGATAAACGAACTTTTGACTATCTATGGAAGCTACAACACTGGTTGGTATAGAGATTATTGAAGTTATAGCAACGGTGTTGGTAGTTACGAAAGTCAAGAAGTTACAACAATATAATGGCCTGAGGTATTGCAGAAACTATTTAGCGTAATAATAATGATAATAATAGTAATAATAACAATAATAACATCAGCATTTATGATAGTTGGGATATTCAGTTGTAATCATGGACATGTATTGTTAAAACCGTAGGAATGACTAAATTGCGCTATATTAATTATTTGACTAGTGTTACCTTTGCTATATTTGTTGTCTTTGGATGGAGGATTGTATAGAAAAAAAGTCTAGGCTATGTATACGTTCTGCGTGGTCAGGTTTGCAGTCAGGTTTCCCGCAGAGAAAGCGGAGTCGTAAATGTGATTTATGTAGTTATTTGGATTAGTTTATTGATTCTATTACTGTTGGTATTCAAATAAACGTTCCACAAAGTTTGTGTTTGAAGCAGTTGAAGAAGATTCACCTATCGGAAATCTTGAACCTACGGAATAACAAACACTTGATGATCGTTGGAAGCTATGGCTGTAATAAACGGATTCCTGATCTTGGTAGATCGATTTAAGTCGTAAGTAAAATAAATATTTAAAAAGTAGTTTTGACCAGTATTTAGATAGCCACTACTGATTTTTGTTTGTTATAAATTTTTCTAAGAATTAGTATTTTTAATAATAATTTAAAATGTTCACGACACGCGTGAAATATATGAAAAACGACATTTGATTAGTAACACAATTAATAGAAAAACATCAAATAAAATATCCTAGATGTCTAGGTGATTGAATTCCACTTTAAATTAAACTTTTATAACCAGTTTAATTAATTTCATCGAAGCATTCTATTTTTTGCGAAATTACAAATTTACATAATGTCAGTTTATTTTAAGATAAAAGTGAGTTTTTTGCAGTTTTGTTAACAATTATAAAAGAATAAAAAGTATAAAAATATCACATCAAGGAACGGGCAGATAATTTCATGCATACAACAAAATGTTCATGGTTTTATCAAAAAATTAAATTCCAGAGAAGCTTTGTGTTGAACTCATGCTCTTCTGCCACCCAGTTTGATCAGCTGTCGTAGTGATATAATTTTATTTCATTAATGTTGGTACAAAATTCATATTTACTCTTCAATAATTTCTATGATTTAAATGATCATATTCCCTACTTAACACAACATGACAGCTGAGTTACGTAGTTTTTTTTATTTACTTCCTTATCCTAAAAATTATTTATTTAATAAACAATGACACACCAAATCCTAAAATTAGTCAAACAATTCAAAGTAACTAACCCCAACGGCGGGAACGCAAAGTTGATCAAGCTTGGCTTGAAGTCTCCTACCGAACTCCTCGTGAACTGAGGCGAAGTTGTACACTGCCCTTCTGCGAATGAACTCCTTCGCGTTCTTCAGATGGTTGGCGATGTTCTCCACCAGTCTCTCTCTTTCGTCCGCTTTCAATTCCTGGCGCAGAAAAAATGTTTCATTTCGGTTAACCCTCACAAAACAAACAAATCAATTTTAATATTATGCACCATCTCATACGACTTGATAATTTAAGCCATCCCGTCAATAGAATCAGTGCTACCGTTTTGTCGTTAAATTTGCCGAGCGCTTTTTCGAATTTAACAAATTGAAAAGGCTTCCGATAATTATTAATGCAATGAAACAAAAAAGAAAAACCTTTTCCCAGAAGGTGGTAGCTTGGCTGAAGTTATCATCATTGCGAGTTTCGTATCTGGACACATCACCTGAAATGTAATGAAACCTCAAGTATGTTTGTTGTCATTTACATATGGTAATAACATGTTTGCTTAATCACGTTTAGATCTATAAAAAAATTTATTAAACAAATGAATTAGAGTATAATAGTCACAGTAAACTAGAGTTCATAAGTTGTAAGCTTTAAATAGACGATGAAGTCACTGTTATAGCGTAGCGGCGAATTTAATTTCATCCTGAACAGGTTAAGATACGATTAATATGTAAGTTTAAAAGTTTAAAGGTGAAAATAATGAGTGATAGAAGATTTTTAAAATGTTTACTAAATATGTTAGAATGTAAAATTCATTCACCAGTGGTGCAATATCGTGACTCAAAGTAGATGGGCTGCACGTCCGGGCCAGTAAAACTGTTGGGAAAGTAGTTCGGCGCGTCACCTAGAAAATTTTTTGTCATTTTGTATGTTACTAGTTTCAATAATTCAATTGTAATTAATACTATTAAGTATGTTAAACAGTACAAATTTCATGCATTCATATAAATTTTAAGCATATTGGGACCTTGGTTGCAAAAGGTCTGCGGACCATCCCTCTGGTAGTTGCTCACTCGTGCTCTGTAGGGGCAATTGACTGGCAGTTGGTTGTAATTGGTTCCCAGACGATATCGATGTGTGTCGGAGTAGGAGAAGAGGCGGCCCTGATTTCAAATGTTTTTTCCGGAGTTTGTTGAAAATATGAAGCATCTAGATATACGATATGAAAAAACACACTCTCCATATCATTTAATAAAGGTTTTACGGTTGGATTTCTGCAAAAACATACATGGAGCATTTTATCAGGACTTGGCTCAATGCCAGGCACCAAATGTGCAGGTGAGAATGCCACTTGTTCCACCTCTGCAAAATGATTTTGTGGATTCTTATTGAGGACGATCCTCCCGTATGGCATTTCTGGAAACTCTTCTGCCGGCCATTCCTGTATCAATTGTTGTCAAGCAACCGCAGTTCATATCATTATAATATTTTTAATTTCGATTCGAAACGCGCGCCATTCAGACAATTTTTGAGTTTGTTGAAACGTTTATAATATTCCAAAACATTGTTGAGTGAAAATGTTGGAGAGTTAAAGTGTGCAAAATTTTCGGTGAATTGCTTTTAATTAAATTTTAATATTAATGCTTATAAAAATGTTCAGTCAGATAATGAACTTGAAAACTTTTTAGGGGGATCTATTTTTAACCGCAATTCACCTCATCCCATGAACGTTCATAGGCGTGTTTGGAAGATCAGGCAGAATAAATTTTTTAAAACAAAATTGCTCGTAATTTTTATCGACTCCAATAGCCGTTAATATAATCAGAGTTAATTGTGATGATGAAATTCCATTAGCACGCAATTTATATGAAGTCTTGAAGGTCCATTTTTCATCTCATTTTCTGATTAAACGGATTTATTATTATTAGGCAAATGGAAACTGGAGAAACAAAACTTCAACTATTGCTGACTTTTCTAATTTCTGGGGCAAAGTTTATTACACAGACCTCTCAAATTTAAAACGATTCCTGTGCAATTCGGTTAAAAATTTGTAAATTCGAATGCCTGTTCTGTCGCTTGGTAACATTTTTTTATGAGCACGTGATTTCAATAATTCAAATAAATTAAAAGAATTTCTTAAATATGAAAAACTGAACAACTTTGGAAGAAGGAAACTATTAGTTGTTAATGAAACATAGGATGAACAACTTGTTGCGATATGGCTTAGTTGTTACACGCTGATCAGATTGAATTGCAAAGACGATCCTGAATATTGTTTCGAAAAAATGATGATGAAGGAATCGAGCTGGAAACATGTCATGGGTATCAGTAACAACAAATTGCAAAATGAATTTCATTTGACTTTTGAAAATCAAACAAAGCAAAATTTTATAGCGCAGTTATTGTGTTGGCGGGGCATTGCTTGCTACGACAATAAGAGGGTCTGAGTGCAAATGAGTCTTTACTGTTAAACTTAAAATTGTATGACAGCTGAAAATGGCTGAATCACGTGTGTTCAAGAAGAAAGATTATCATTTAAAATTTCGAAATGTTCAAAAATGTGCAACTAGTAATATTTTGTGAACGAGTCGAACCTTGGTGACGTCAAATGGATTGAATGATGTTTTTTCGGCTTGTTGGTAAGTCATAACTTGAATGTTGGTCGTCCAGGACGGGTACAAGCCTGTTCAAAAGTGTCAGTATTTAATAAATACATTTAGTAATAAATGTTAACACAGATGAAAATAAAATTTATACGAATACGTCAGCAATGTTAAAAAGAACTTAAAAAATAATTCCGTGCAAATAAAAAAGCTTCGTTTATCTGAACGGCGGCTTTCGATTTAGCTCTAAAGAAGCTTATTAGATAATGGGAAAAAAATTTTTTTAAGATTTAGAAGCACAAGTGATAAATGTTAATAAAACGTTAATGGCTCCAAATTTAAAAGCGTTTTAAAATATTTTACGTAGTATAGTACTCTGGACGAATGAAATGAACCTTGTTCAATAGCATTGTAGAGATCCTTGGTGGCATAGTCTGGATCCTCTCCCGCCAACTTCACAGCCTGGCTCGTTGTTAAATTCTGTATGCCTTGGTTGGTCTGTTCGAATTAGAAAATATATTAAACAATCAATTAATTAGTCAATGTTTAAAATGATCAGTATGAAAGGTACGGTTGATTCCTTCCTACCTTCCAAGATAATTACGCAGTATGGTAATAAGCGAGCAGTAACAAAATATTTGTTGTAAAAACTTGAATGAGAAAAAATATATTTGAGCGAACTCTGTGAATGAATTTGCAGTAGACAGGCTCCCCCCGGCAGTTCACCAACTTGAAGGTGTTCGTTCCGTATCCATCCATGTGTCTGTAGCCATCTGGAATGCCCTTGTCACTGAAGAGTATGCACACCTGGTAGGTTGTCTCTGGTCTCAGGGAGATGAAGTCCCAGAACATGTCTGCGTCCTAATATTTTTCCAAAATTATTATTTAAAAATAAACGTTTGGAACAAATTAAAAACAATCTGGAAACTTTATAAAAAGATTATAACTGATGATAAAGTGAAGGGGAGCAAATACCCTGAGGTTCGTCTTTGGATTTCTTTTCTGGCTATGATTCAAACTAGGAAACTGGAAATAAATGACAATCGGCAATTATGATTACTATTTATCAAACTATATTTATGTTTTTCAGTATGAGAGAAAACTGATGTTACATATAAATGAAACAGTTCGATGTTTTTGTCAGGAGTAAGTTGTGAACATGCATGGAAAAAGTTGATTCTATGGTAAGTTTATGAACAGTGAAGTCACATCAGCACATGTGTCATGAATCCTAAATTTCGACAAACGAACTGAGTGCACTAGCACACGAATTATCATTAATGAATACGTAAATGACCGTTCATCAGAAGAATAAAAAAATTAAATAATATTAAAATCCAAATAACCATACCAGTATGGGATCTCTGATGAAGAAGATTGGGCTGTTATTGCCCACTATGTCCCAATTGCCTTCCTCGGTGTAAAACTTCGTGGCAAACCCTCGCAAATCACGCACGGTGTCTGCCGACCCCATCTCGCCCGCTGATTTCAAAAGGTTCAATAAATTTAACATTAAATAAATCGTCATGGAGAATGAACAACAAAGTTTTTCAACAGAGGTAGCAAAAACTAAGTAATGTGATACATACACGAGGAGAATTAATTTTACATTTCAAATCATTAAGAAAAGTTTCAGTTGGGTAACGTGGAGCAAAACGTGGAATGAGTACTTTTTTGAAGCTGTTGAAAATTTATTTCCATTTTTTGCGCATCAATTGAAAGAACAACTAGTTGATTATTTTACGGTACGGTCTCAACCTAACGAGAAAAAAATAATTTTTTGGTGAAGTAACAGCGGGAAAACAAAATAAAGTAACCGAAAATCTGTTCCCTTCATGAAATCTTACACTTTTGTGTATATTTGAGTGTTAACGTTTTTTAAATTTGTTAATGATAATCGGTCAAAATAAAATGTTTTCTTCAGTGCAATGAAATCTTCTATCCTTGGTTATGGTAAGATTAGAAATGCCCATGACTCGCCCGCCAGAGCGTAGAAAGCTTCATTGAACGCAACCCAACTATGTATGCAAATGTTTGCGATGTTACTTATGCTAAGACATTGCTTGTAAAACAACGGAACTATAACATAGACACAATCTAATCACATTTATGTGCGTGTGCGTGCCTGTAGTGTACTGTGTGTATGTGTGTACATCGAATAATAAATATAAAAATATTATTCGTTATTGTTATGACATTATAATTCTCTCTCACAAGATCTCGTTTCACCATGGTTAAGTTCATTCATACACGTTTGTGTATGTATTTATGTAGCTTTAATGTTAATCTAACTTGCATATTCCCATATATATATATATATATATATATATATATATATATATCACATGTATATATATATATATATATATTTATTTATTTACATATTTATGTTTGGTAAAAGACCATAATTAATGCAGTAATTTAACGTTAATAAAATAAATAATGACGACAAGAATTCGGTTCGAAATATTGAGAAATGTAATAAAAAACAATCCAACGCTAGAAATTCTGTAGATTTAATAAATTACTGCATATATATATATATATATATATATATATATTTTTACAGTATTCTATAAATTCTACTGAACGTTTAGTTTATTTTCACCAAAAAACTTTAGTGAGAAAAATCGAAAAAACGAACTACAAACAAATTAACGCCAAACATTCGGTAGAATTTATAGAATATTGTAAAAATTATGGTCTATTACCAACATATATATATATATATATATATATATATATATATATATATATATATATATATATATATATATATATATATATGTTGGTAATAGACCATAATTTTTTTAATGGTCTATTACCAACATATATATATATATATATATATGTTGGTAATAGACCATAGTTTTTACATCATATTCTTCTGCTAGCATCATAAATAGTGACAAAGAAGAATATGATGCTATCGATGAAGAAAATGAGACCAAAGAAGACGACCAGCCAATTAAGAAACCTGACACCTAATTCGCATCAAAGTTCAATTTTACAACACCAAAGTTAATTTTTACAACGTCAAAGTTAATCAGCAAGGAGCACTGACGATGATTCATTCGGAATCGAAATATGGCCGTATTTGCAGCATGAATTCGAAAAATAAGTTTATTTTGAATTTTAATAAACTAAACGTTCACCAAAAAACTTTAGTGAGAAAAATCGAAAAAACGAACTACAAACATATTAACGCCAAACATTCGGTAGAATTTATAGAATATTGTAAATATATATATATATATATATATATATATATATATATATTAAAATATTGACAAAAATTGCATTTGCATTCAGTATGTTACCAGTTGAAAAAAAACTCAACAATGGAACTATAGATGGATATCTCTTAACACTCATGAATGGAACCACCTAAAACAACAATTCAACAATGTGAAAGCTGTGAACACACTGTGAATAAACCACGGACGAACAACGACTGAATACATTGCGAACGAACAATGCGTGAATCATGAGCAAAGAGCAGGAACGATAGGTAGGTACGCTGCAAACAAACAAACAATCAAAAGAAAGAATACACATACAACAAGAAGGTTCTATTGCTTGGAATATAACCTCATCTATATATTAATAATATTGTCGATCGATCCATCCACCTAGCACCATACTTTCCCTCACCAGCCCATCTCCAATACAGTCTCGCACGTTTTCCGCCATCGCGAATTTCGCAAAAATATATAAGCAATAAATGTGTTTACTGAATCGCATAGTTTACTGATTAAAAAAATTTTTAAAACTAATGAAAATAAAAATTATTTTTTTGAGAGTAGCGACTGACCGACAGTGGAGAACCTGACGAAGACAGGTGTCTTCTTTCCAACGTGCTCAAAAACTTTTGCCTTGCAGTACTTGGTGATGTCGTGAGTGACTTCAAAGTAGCCGTGAGCACCGGTCCCTTTTGCGTGCACCACCCTCTCAGGAATCCTCTCACGATCGAAGTGGGCCATCTCATCGTGGAAAACAAAATCCTGAACGAGCAGGGGACCCCGAGGACCAGCCGTCATCGAAGCTGTCTTGCTGCCAATCGGAACACCAAGGCTGGTCGTCAACTCGTCAACCACACAATTCTAAATCAAAGTTTTTGAAAAAAAGACATGCAGAATGATTTTTATTTCAATTTTGTTCATTAGTAAGACAATTTTTAAAAATATTTCTTTGATAAATTTTCAACAAAAGTATTAAATCGTTTAAAAAACAATTGTCCATATTATTGGCCAACCTTTTTCTGTTTATAGCTTTCAAGCTGCTGAGACGTTAAATCGGCCATCTTTTATTGACGAAATGAAACAGAAAAATAAAATAAATATTTTACAAAATTTGAAATCACGTCGTTCAAACAGACTTGAAAGTAATAAACGCCTCAATGATCAGACATTGCTTTATAAAGTGTACAGACAAAAGTGCATGCATGCCTTCTACGCTGTTGCAACACAATGGTTGCGAAACGGGAGGAACAATGAAGTTTATAACGTAACAATCAGAGAAACTTAGCTGCTGCAGCTTTTATATAGAATCATTATTAAAAGAATTCACTTTTGTGAAAATATTCATTCTGTACAATTTTCTAGTCATTCTTATAAATTTTGAGTTGGGCGACACAAATTCATGTTCGTTCCTTTAAATATGTACGTATCATAAATATGAAAAGTTCAGCATGTGTAGGCACACACATACATTTACAAACAAATTTTGAAAATTGTCTGCTTAGGTGTAATAATGGTTATTCTTAGTTTAAAAAAAATTTGTCATTTTGTTTATGTCTTAGCACAAACTTTTACTTTGGCTGAAAATGTATAAACTCTCACCAAAGGTACGTCACAAGTCCATCATTTTATACATCTCAACAAACAATTTGTATCTTGCAGATGTTTTTTCATATGTTTTTCTCTACAGAACGAAAATAATAAAGTTTCAATAAGGAAATGCCTCAAAAATAATGTCAAATTAATTCTGTTTGAACGCGCTTGTCTGTTTTTATTGAAACTTCTGTTGAAACTATATACGCTGTTTTTATTTAGAAAATTTTGTTAAATTGCTTCTATTAATGTTATTATTGTGTGTGTCTGTTTGTTGTGTGATGTGTGTGAGTGACGTACGTTGTGTTTGGTGTATATTAAGTTGAGATAAAATTGTATTAAATTGTATTAGATTGCATACCTGTGGATTGTGTGACGATTCTGTTTGATAAAAATTTTACGACGTATTGTGTCATGTTTGTTTTTCTATCTGTACAAGTGTCTTAGGTTCTTATGTTTCATTACCAACTCAATATTTCTAATAATTGTATGTATGTTTCATGATTTTTGTACAAATTTAATCCGTTTATTTTGTTCGAAACAATAAAACATTTTTCAATATCGCCATGTTTAGACGACTTGGGCACAACCGAACGAGGGAGCAATGTATAAAAATTGTAAGACGTTTATTTGTAAGACTTTCTTCTAAACTTTATTTATAGTTGCATGCGTTTTCTGTGAATGTACGGTTTAGCTATCAAACTTTACGCAACCTATCTAACAGAAGTTTTCAAAGCTTTAAGCATAAAAGAATGAAAATTTTTCATCTTTTTGAGAAATTGTGAATCAACTTTGATCATTTGGGGTATTTTAAAATATTTTAATTAATCGGTTACCTTTTTGCCTGACTTAATGTAATATGGGATGATCTGTTTCTAAAAATTCTTTACTAGATATGTAGTTTGTTAGGAAGATTTTTGGATTTTCTTAACCCACAAAATCACTCAAAGATTTAAAGGTACATTTTTGGCTTCTTTCCATATTAAAATAGTTTCTACTAGATTCTAATAAGTTCTTTTGAAATCAATGAAAATCTTTTTGCATTGTCAAAGCGAGTTGTAGCTACTGTTTGGTGTTTCATGAAGAAATCTGTTTATTGCTTTTTAAAATATTAACGACCAACAAGCTTGATCCATCCCAATCAAAAAATTATCAAAACACAAAATGACATGACGATGCTTAAACATGTCACTAAAGACCTTGGAATTTGACCGCAATGAACATTTTTACTGCTCGCGAAATAGTTTTCACCCAACATAATTATTTTCTGTTTTGTAATAATGTTTAAGTAATAATGTCCATTAAGAGTATTTCATTCAACGTAGATTGAATCTATGCGTGGCATTCAGTTGGGCAACATGTGGCCTACAAGTTTGTCATTCATGAATACTTGTCAATACGGTCAAAATATTTTGAAACTTTCAAATGTTAATAAATTAGAAATTTTAAAACCGTACTCTCAAAAAAACGTAGACATTTAACTTATTTTAGACTTCATTTATTTCAGATGATTTTTTGTTCGCGGATTAACCAAATCAATATTTAAAACAATTTTTCATTAACAATCCCATTTGTTTAGAGAAAAAAACCTCAAATTGTTCTCAGATTAAATAAATCCTGCGCTTGGTGTGGATTTGTTAACTGATAAATTAATTTTACATCGCAATTCAACTATAAATTACTGAAATTGACACTAAAAAGGTTTTGGTTCTTGTGGGAAGGACTTCTAAGCAAATTTTTAAGTTCACGACAGATCTCTTTAAGAATGGATAGTTTGGAAAATTAATTTTTCAACGAAACACCAGTCAAAAACTTAGTCATGGAAACAAAATCGCGATCCAAAACTAAATTTATTTGATTAACAACAAAAAATTACCAGAAAAATTTTACTAATTGTGCAGTTAACAAGTTAATGCATTCGTCGATTGTTAATGTTATTCGTCACTCAAAATGTTTACCCTTCATCATCTTCAACAATAATTAAAAAAATAAGTTTTTATGAATATCTTTGATATTTCACAGCTTAGCAACACCTGATGAAGGTGCAACAAGTTGATCAAGCTTCGTTTGAAGTCTCCTACCGAATTCCTCGTGAACCAGTCCGAAGTTGTACACCGCTCTCCTGCGAATGAATTCCTTGGCATTCTTCAAATGGTTGGCGATGTTCTCCACCAGTCTGTCCTTTTCATCAGGCTTCAAGACCTGTCAAATATATATTTTTTATGACAGAGAGTATGGTTAAGTAAATTTTTATGCACCGTAAACTGCAAACTGTTTGTAAAACTTTTCAATATTTTTCTATATATAAGTATAAAAACCAAAGTGCAATTTGTAAAGTGTAAATAGGCTGCTGTCAATTGATCTTTGCAATATCAAAATGTACTGATACACTGGCATAATATGCAATTATATATAATCAGAATCTAAGGATGTCTAATTCTAGAAGAAAAGTATTAAATGAAATAAGAAAATACTAAAAAGCTAAAGCGTTGGCTCAGTCAGCAGGCGTGCCATGTCATTTTAATTGTTGTCCTACAGAAAGTTCATGCTGCAACCTGGTTCAAATATTGTCTGGGTACCAAATAAATACCATGTCTAACATATAGCATATGTCATACCGCACATTTACAGTGAAAAAGGTAAAATTCTTCCAGACCAAACGAATTGTTTTGTTGTATAACGTCACAAAAAATGAGAAAAAGGTTAAATATTTTGAAGACCTTTAGTTAGAAAAGCCAAAAGTTCAGTGCCTTGAAAAAATTATTAAATGATGATACACTAAAAAGATATTGAATGAGTGAACCTTCTGCCAAAATATTGTAACTTGACTGTAATTATCCTCATCACGTGTTTCGTACCTTGCAACATCACCTAAAAATTACAAATAAAAGTTCAACTTTCAGCAAAAAATTTTAATTCTTCTAAGCATTTAAGCCTTATAATCTACAAAATGACTATTGCAAATTTTTTTAATACAACTCATTGTCCTTAAAATGCGTATGAACTTACTACCATATAAGTAATGTTATCCTGCATATTTCCAAAATTTCATAAATAATATTTTAGAAAGTGCAAAACGAGGCATAACTAAATTAAACTTTACAAACAACCCAGACAAAAATCCAGCATCATATGCATAAAAGTCATGTACAAAATGGCTTTACTATGAAACTAACGGACGTGCATTTATAAAAACAAAGAAACTAGAAGAAAGTCTTATAAACCAAACTGGCTGACCAGCAAATCTTAACAAGCCAACTAACTGACCAGTGGTGCTGTATCTGGACTCCAAACATTTCGGCATGACATCAGGACCGGTAAAACTGTTTGGAAAGTAGTTTGGTGCATCACCTGAAATACACTTTTTCTATGTTAATTGAGAATAAAAAAAAGTCATCCATAATCTACTTCATGAAGTTTATCAACTTGAACCGTGAAAACTTCAAAAATAATTAAAATAAGAATGTTCAGGTAATTGATCAACAATGAAAAGTCAAGTGGACAGACCTTGGTTGGCAAAACACTGCGGACCATCCCTCTGGTAGTTGCTCACTCGTGCTCTGTAGGGACAATTGATTGGCAGTTGGTTGTAATTGGTTCCCAGACGATGTCTATGTGTGTCGGAGTACGAGAACAAACGACCCTTGTTCCAAGTAAAAAAAATGACTTTATTTAAATGAACAGTCAATCAGAACTAGATTATATAACACCCATGAAACACAACCTGAAGAAAAGTAAACCTCACTTGGAGCATTTTATCAGGGCTTGGTTCAATGCCAGGCACCAAATGTGCGGGTGAGAATGCCACTTGTTCGACCTCTGCAAAGAAGTTTTGGGGGTTTTTGTTAAGGACGATCCTTCCGTATGGGATCATTGGAAAGTCTGCATGTGGCCAGACCTGTCATGTTTCATAGAATTGTGTTACAGTCATCATCTTCAACGATGCTGCAACTAAAAAACCTTCATACATCCATTTCGAATTCATTTTATGCCTAGTTCAAAATCGCTACAGTTCATAATGACATCAAAACAAATTCAACATTGCAAATGAACAAGAGCGTAATATTATTCAACGAATAACTTTTTTTAAAATTATTTAATTAAAATGTTCAAAGGTGACTGTTTACTGTGATAACTTAACAAAAATTAATTTCGTTTGCAAGAAAACGTAACCACATATATAAAAATTGAACTAAACATGACAAACGGTGAGTTAAACTTCAAGTTAATTTGCCCACAAATAAAGATAAGAGACTCAAAAGTATTAAAGTCTAACATGCTGTAGATAGCGAGTTAAGACTCAAGTACCAATTCACTTTAATCAAACCATCATGTGATATGAATTGAAATTTTTTTAAATGTTTTCAAGGGTAGAAACGTTTTATTAAGCATTAGCTTAATATCAGCGCTATTTAATTGAGAAGAAATAACATAGAGAGACGAAACATTGGGCACGAAAAGATACTTACATTACAAACCTCAAGAAATAATCACAAGAAGCCCAAAATAAGATAACATTAGCACATGCACTTAGTATATGACAAATGATTGCCAAGAATACAATCATAAAGCCAGCTACAAAGAAATGACTAAAAAATTAATCAAATGATTACATACAAAACTACGGTTGTCATTTGAATTGAAATTGTAATGAACTATTGTAAAGAATTTATATTTTCATGTTCATTAAAGAAACACGATTGTAAAAGCAAATATAACAGCTTGGAATGTTGAAACGATTGGAGAATTCAAAGGTGTTGTAAAAAACAACATCCTCACTGTTGGTTAAATCAGACAACTACAGTTTTCAGTATGATATTGATAACAGAAAAATATGCCAATATTTGTAAACTTTTTAATTAATTTCAACCGAAAGAAATAAAATTCAGGCATTAACTACGTAGCATACATAGTAAGGAAGATTTGTGTTTGTTACATAATACCCAAACAACCAGTTAATAAACTTTAAAAATTGGAAGAAAAACCTTGGTGAGGTCGAACGGATTGAACTTGACAGTTTCAGCTTGATGGAATGTCATGATCTGCAAGAAGAGAGTCCAGGAAGGAAAGGAACCTGGATGGTGATTAGGTAGATATTAATAAGGAGCAGGTCTATAAACATAAAGCATTATTGTAACATCAGGTGACGTAGAAATTCAAATGTAGATTAAAACTAAAGCATACCTTGTTCGATGGCATTGTAAAGATCTCTGGTGGCATAATCAGGATCCTCTCCAGCCAACTTCTCCGCCTCACTTGCAGGCAGGTTCTTGATTCCCTGGTTCGTCTGTTACGACATGAGATGAAGAAATTAAGAACCTGGTGACCACTTGGCTCAGCAACAAATTAAATATATCTGAATCAAGTTAATTGATTGATGACCATTGTATTATGAATATAACATAAAACAACTCGATGATCAACCTTTTTAAAAACACAAAATAATGACTCTATAGAAACGAACCATGTGGTGGAACTTGCAGTAGAAAGGTTCCCCGTGATTGTTGACCAACTTGAACGTGTGTGACCCAAAGCCATGCATGTGCCTGAAGCCATCCGGAGTTCCTCGGTCACTGAACAGGAAACAGACTTGATGGGTCGACTCGGGTCTCAGGGTCAAGAAATCCCAGAACATATTCGCATCCTGGAGTAGCATCAATATAACAAACAACTAAAAACTTATCTGAAACCAAATAAATTAGAATTACACTGAAGATCAGCTACATAACCGCTTTTCCAACAAAAAACCGTGGTATGATAACGCTGATTTGAAATGTGGTGTTATGAGTGAATAGTGGTAACAGTAATGTTAACAACGACAGAGCACCTTGAGGTTTGTCTTGGGATTCCTTTTCTGAGTGTGGATGAAACTTGGAAACTGGAACAAAGAAAGAGATAGATTTTGATTGTCAAATAATTTTTAAATAATTAAATATTTCATAGAATAAACTTTAAATCGTGTTCTTATATTTTGTTATTACAAACCGCTGTTACATAACAAAAACTGGTGACATCACTTCAAAAAAAATTAACTTAATAATAATTATAACCATTCTCCAAAAGTTCAAGTGAAACACTAAACAAATGCATATGAATATACAGACAAATGTATTTATACATCTTTAAATGCATACACCAAATAAATAAATAGTCAATAATAAATATTAATATTAAATATAAATAAATAAATTAAATATATTAAATAATTAAATAAATATAAATATTAAAAATAATAAATAAATAGACCAACAGACACACGGAAAAATAACAAATACACATATGAGTGAATACTAAGAAATGCGTAAAATCTCGTCAAGCAATTAGAGACACGTGAACAATGAAGTCTTTACAGTTGTTAGTTGGTTGCACTCAAAAGAGAGAGACTCATTATGAGGCGTGTATAAAACAACGGACTCAATATTCTATTGTTATTATGAGAAAAACAAAACGAAAAATAAAAACAATAACAATAATAATAATAACAGAAGCAATACAAATTATAATAAAAATAATAGTAAGAATAACAGTAAACCAGGTACATCACTGTGTACAATGACAAATATTAGCATAGCAGTATTAAGATTTAAAATAAATGATTTAATGTAAAACTGAGGTGACTCTGATGACAAACACTGATGATATAGTATATCAGATAATGGTGCTTGCATAGGTCAATCAATCAATCCTCGTTTATAGTCTCTCGCTTCTTCTTAACTTGTGTTAAACACTCTTTTGCCAAATCTGCTTTTGCTTTTTCTAGCCCTTTTCTCTAGAACTCTCTACCTACTTCTCTGACTACTTCTCCATCACTTACGAAGTTCAGAGCGGATCTTATGACCCATCTGTTTTCAAAATTCATTGAGGAGCGCTGTTGAACATCGCGGAAATAGCGCTTTACAAGCTAATTGATTGATCATATGTGTGCTTGCATAGAGTTGACAGAAATAATATAAAGCTAATAATATAGCTGACAACATTATAAAAACTAATAAATTCTTAAGTCTTCAAAGTTATTGAATTATCTTAAAAGTCAATGAAGCACCAACTGAAATGTGTTGACCAAACAAGAATCAGTAAACAATGAAATAGTTGAGAAAGATGATATTTAATTGAATGATTAAAATGCATACAAGTCAACGAAACACACCACGCAAACTCTACCTAAAGTTTGAAAATTATAAAACAAAAAAAAGATGGATGAACCAGGATGGGATCCCTGATGAAGAAGATTGGAGTGTTGTTTCCCACCAAGTCCCAGTTCCCTTCTTCAGTGTAGAACTTCACAGCAAATCCTCTGGGATCACGAGCCGTGTCAGCTGACCCCTTCTCTCCACCTGGTTACAAAAATTTCAAATAATTTTTGTAACCATCATGGCAGCAGGACAGTCTAATGGATAAGATGTCTGACACCATTGTTGCAGTGACTGGATTCGAATTCGAAGAGATCCCCGCTAATCACATGCAGTGAGTGGGATGTATGCATTCAAACGTTTTTAAAATAAAAAAAATCAAGAATATTTTCATAAAGTTATTCTTTTAATTCTCGTTTGCGTAGTTTACAATGGCTTGCATTACTTCCAACAAATGAAAATATCCGCAAAAATATTTACAAATTTATTTGTAACTTACATATGAAAAAAAAATGTTCATAAAATCTAAATCTGCAATAAACGAATGTTTAATTTTAAGATAGGTTACTGAACCTGTATTTTATCTCTTTGGATATTCTTTGTGTGTATATCATCTAACAGTTAGGCTATACTAAATCATTCATTTATCAGGCCCCTCCAATGCTACTAATGCACAAGTTGCTTAGGTGACCTTGCTTACTTTCTACTATCACAAGTTGTCTGGCATTGTTCCATGAAATTTTTTATTGAAACAACTCAGTAAATTCAGTAAGCTATTGCACATTAAGTAAAACTATTCATAATCTTAAGTTGGTTAAAACATAAAATGTAATTAGAACTAATTACTAGGACATTACTAGCGTAGATAAAACTTTATTAAAATACTACTTAGGAAACATTTTTCTAGCTGTGCTGTAATAATAAAAAAAATGATATAATTTTCATGCTTCCTTTGAACTTTGCATTGCTGCTAATTTGGTTTTTCAATACGCATGTATATGTTCTTTCTAACCAGCTGATTTCTGCTTAAGCACTTTGAAAATATTTATAAGTTGGATTATGTAGAATTTCAGATTGATAAACTTTTACAATTTTGATCTTAATGTTTTTAAACCACAAATCTGTTAAAATCTGTTATGAACTATCAAGTTTATACAAAATTCATTTTCATTTTTTTGTCTAAAATGCACTTTGCATATCAATTTCTCCAATTTTACCATAAAACTGGGACAGGTATTAATTCTATCTTATTTCTGGTGAAAAGAATACCCAGTAAAATGGTTTGCTTCATGTATGTGAGTCAAAATGCAAGCTAAGCTTGTGTTGTGTGAATGTTTTAAAATAGGGCTAACATCAAATAAAAGTTCAGTTGATATAAATTTTATATTCTTATTAATATTGTTTATGAACTAATAACCGAAGTATTAGTTTGATGTGCCGTGTGTGCACGCGCGCGCGCGCGCGTGCGTGTGTGTATGAATATATAAAAACTAGTAATGAATAAACAAATAAATTAGTATAAAAACAAAATTAATAATGTATCTACACAAAAATGGGACCAAAAACTTTTTATAAAAATTAAAAATTTTATTATTTTAATGATTACTAAAAATGTAAATAATATTGCCTCAGCTAATTTATCGAAAAGTCAACAATTGCCAAACTACTTAAATAAATAAGATCTCACACACGCACGCACGCACGCACGCACACACACACACACACACGCACGCACACACACACAAAGTTTTTAAGCCTTTAAAGTTGTTGAGTGCAAAAGGAGAAGCAACATCCAGCAATAACAAAACAAGCATCAACATTCAACAGTAATAATGAATTAACACATTTAGTAGCAATTTATTAGTCGGTTCTTTTACCTTATAAAAGATATGAAAGCAAATGAAATAAATGTCCAAAAACTACTCAATTCAATTTATCTGTTCACTCCTTTCAATCTGTTCCAACAACTTTCATATGAAATTCAAGAATATTCTAGTGAAAATTTGATCAATTTACTGGTAGAGTCTTTCTATTTAAAAAGTTTGGTCATGCATGGATGGGAAAAAACAATGTGGAATTTGCACTAAACCATCAATCATTGTCATTCAACTGAATGCAAGTCGAGTCATTTTGAATATGCTAAAATTCTCTAATTTTTAAACTTAGAAACGCTTTTCAAATTATTTCAATCATATTACAACATTAATAATTAAGTAATTTTGTAATATAAAATCTTTTACATTGTGTAGATGTTTTACAATTTTAATAATTGAAAACTTTTATAATTTCTGTGTTATTATATTTTTAAACCTTCAATCAATAAAAATTCTCAAAATGATGAATGTGACCAAATTTAAAAAATATGTGAAAAACTAAATTTCGGAGAACAAAAAACATAACTGACCAACGGTGGAGAACCTGACAAACACTGGTGTCTTCTTTCCGACCTGGTCAAAGAGTTTTGCCTTACAGAACCTGGTGATATCATGAGTGACTTCAAAGTAGCCATGAGCACCGGTTCCTTTTGCGTGCACCACCCTCTCAGGAATCCTCTCACGATCGAAGTGGGCCATCTCATCGTGGAAAACAAAATCCTGAACGAGCAGGGGACCCCGGGAACCAGCCGTCATCGAAGCAGTCTTGCTGCCCACAGGACATCCCAGGCTGGTTGTTAATCCATCCATCTGACCATTCTGTAATAAGGATAATATATAATATTTTTTTAGTCCTATATCTCAACATCTTTATTTATTGCTCTTGAGCATTTACAAGTTTCAATTTTTGATATTACGCTTTCTGTACAAAAAAACTTACAATAAATGAAAATACATGTTATATTGATACAATGCAAAACTAAGAATAATTGAAAACATATATTATTGCAGATGATGATTATACACAACATTCCTGGAAGACTCCAACTTAAAGCCAAATTAACTACATCCTAATTCATATCAACTGTGTTAATGGTTGAAAAGAGTTTAGTTGAAAGGCATAAAAGTTGTGAAATTAAAAGATTCTTTTTACAAAGTGAAAATTATTGTGAAATTAAAGGATCATTTTACAAAGTGTATAATTTTATAAATTCATATTTTAAAAATCTTCTTTTAAAACCCAATTTTAAAAAGTTAGAGCTCAATCAAAAATTTGTCACAGATGTACTTTATAAGTCCTAAACATAAGATTTTGCATCATTGCAATCAATAACATAATGTTGTAAATCAGAAAATTGAACAAGTAGCCTTAGTTGTATAGTCAACAGACCTGGCAATGTTTTATAATACAAAAGATCTCCAATTTAATAAAAAAATTTAAAAATAATATTATTTAGTTGGGTATAAAACATTATAGCAGCATAAGAAGCTTAGATTAGTCAAATTTTCTTATAGAAAAATATAATAAATCATTTATTTATTTTATAATTTATATATTATTTTATATTTTACTTTACTTTACTCTTAAATTAAGTAAGTGTCTTAATGATTACCATTACTTTGATTTATTTATTTTTATTTTTTACTTAGTAATATAATTTATTTATTTGATTATTAATTTGATTATTTTATTTTATATTTATATAATAAAATAAAATAATTAAGTATAAATTTTATAATAATTTTGAAAAATTTTTTCCAACCTTTTTCTGCTTGAAACTTTCAAGTTGCTCAGACGCCTTGTCAGCCATTTCAAACGATGCAAACTTTTCCAGACAGAGCAAAAGCAGAAGAATTTCTTATGAAATGAATGTAGTGTAGTAAGTGGTTGGTTTTTAATAAATTAATAACTAATTCTTTAAGAACAAAATTACAACAGTAGCGAACGCACGCATCAGTGATCATAAATAAATTAGAAGCCAGTGAATGACAATAAATCAACCTGCAAAGTTTGTGCCGAGTTGCACTAACTCCTGACGCGACGATAAATCAACATTTATATATACGAAACTGACGACAGACTTATTAAACGGATCAAAGTTGATCAAAGTTATGAAAACGTCAAGACTATTGAAATTCACTTTTAAACAGTTTTTCGATTTTAAACAGTTTTATAAGATACAATTAACTAAAAATGTATGTAATGTATGTTTTATCAATATTTTAAATAATATATATATATATATATAAGTTTATCCCTGAAATAATGAAACTGGAGTTGCTCAATTGTACTCTTTCTATTCCAGAGAAGAGCAGCTTTTGACCATGCGTATATATAAGATATCCATGGCTTTGACGGCACATTATGATTATATTTCACATAGTGACCCCCAAATATAATGCAAATATTGATCCAATGTGTTTTTCAAGTTCTATAGTTAGAAAACGAATTAATATAATGTTGCAAACGTTTCTCTTTAAACGGTTTACGTATATACGTATATTAAATATAAATATATTAAACCAAACCTGCACTGACGATTTATGAAAAATTCGAAATAAGGCCTTATCTGCATGATGAATTTCGATAACAGTTTCATTGAATTTTTATGATAAACTTAGATAATTCTATTTACAACAAATTGAACAATTTCCAGAAAATTCTAGTAAGGAAAATTGAAAAGAAAAACTTCAAATTGATTAATGTTAACAATTTGGTAGAATTTATACATTACTGTAAAAATATGGTGTCCTTCCAGCATTTAAACGTATATTAAATATGTTTATATATATATATATATATATATATATATATATATTAAATGTGTATTTGTCTAGGTTGTACTATAGCTCAATTCCTCTGCTTTGTTTCATTGAGTGCTCTTCGCCTTCACATTCTTGATTTTTATTAACGTATCGATTATTGCGAATAGTATGCTAATTGGAAAAATGGTCTAAATTAATATCCCCGAAAAAATTTATTTTTTCCTTATATACTCCTCAAAAATCCCTTCACGCCAACTGAACGTTTATACACTAAAATTTCTTATCTTACCTCCGGTTTTATCTTTCATGTTCTTAGTTTTGATCGCCTACAAGCCTTATTTCACTTCTACAACCTCCGCTTTACAGAATCCTAGAACCATGAATAAATATCCATCACTAGAACACCAACCCACCCACTCACCCAATTTATGACTTATTGGCGCGTGAACGCAGTTTGAACCAGTCTGGAACATTGAACAGATAGTAAATTGAACAGGTAACACAATTCGATATTTGTACTGTATATTTATTGTATTTACAGTAGATTATATTTTTGAAACCTAGCAATCAAAGAATTCAGCTAGTTGCAATGACTAGAATGGTAGAGCCAACAGGCGACTGTCTTCAGATTAATCCTATCATATCTACAACAATATCACTAAATTAAAACATTGTCAGACTAACTAAAATGAAATAAAAATTGTTCAACCAGTTAGCAATTAACTGAACAAATTACATACATAAATAAAATAATTAAACTAAAAATCCCAAAACTGTTAAATCGCGAACGGCCAGTCTGCCAACCGACTAGCTACCACTTTCCTCTTTTATTCCAATCTTTTGGTTGCCAATGCAAACATTTGGGATCAATTCGTATCGTTCGTTTCTTAGCCGCCTTTGTGTGCGCTTCGAGAGCCTCATTAGTAATGGTCACGATGTACTGGCCTTTGTAGTAGTTGATGAGGTTGAGGTGCTGCAGGGTCGATATGACGTCATCCTTCTTTATGCTCGTCATCTCAGAAATGTCACTATTGTTTCGAAACAGTATTGCAACAACCATTATATTTGTTAGTTATTATAACATTTTTAATTTGTGCATATTCTCTGAAATTGAGTGAATCATTAACTAAAAAGAGTGAAATCTGTTAAATAAATTTTCTGCGATTCAACCACTTAAAACGCTGAAAAAAGATTAATGAACGAATCCCTCTGAAAACTATTGAAGTTTATTTACACTAAAACTAAAATTCTTATTCCGGTAAACATTTTAGGAGAAAAACATATGCATGCGATTGAACAAAAAAAGATCAATCAGACTTGGTGGTGATCATGGGATGTTCGCCAGGTTCTGATGGCTTCAGGTTCAGCAGGATCTCCATGATCGTTTGCGACCAGTAACTTCTGTAAGAGAGGAGCCCGAGGTCTGACAATGGCTTCTCGGGAGAGCCTGTTCGTCCCTCAATTTTTGATAGCTCATAACCTGGTTGGTCATTGACGTAAAATACAATTTGTGTCAATAACCCTAATCACAACGCTAAACATCAATCTAATTCTATCCATGAATATTGTGAAAATTTCTAAAACGTTTCAATTCTCATAAACATTTAATGTATACATCTATCCAATGATAAACCTTTATTAAAAAATAAGCAAAATTAACATATAAAAATAACTATGACTAACTATGATGAAAATAAAAAAGTAAATGTAAAACATATTAACTGAATTCAATAAGAAGCTTTCCGTATCCTTTCCTCTGGAATGGAGGCAGTGTCAGAATGCAAGCTACATTGTAATCTTCCGTTGATTCTTTTTCCTGCAGCAAATGAAAGAATTCCCATAAAACATTAAATAACATTTTTTTCCAGATTTGAACTTGATAAGCAATATTTGAATGAATAATAAAACTAAGCAATTTCTCAAAAAAAAAAACAATTCAACAAGATTTTTCATAAAAAATTAAAAAAAAACTAAAGTTTTGAATAAAATACAACATCTGAATAAAACGTAATCAAGTGAAGTATAAAATTAAGACAGGAATGAAGCGAACCTTTGAAAAGTAGCCAACAATATGATAGCCCATGTCATCAATCTCACACATGATGTAGAAGAGGAAGGGGTCTGTGTCATAGTACAAGGTCTTGTGGTCCAGAAACAGTTTGGCTAGCAGGCATAAGTTCTGGGCATATGTCTGTATAATAATAATAATTTAATAAGTTTTGTGTTTGCTTTGCGTTTGCAAAGATTGAAATGATAATGCTTTGTGAGTGTCTGGTCTGTCTAGATCGAAATAAATACTATTCTAACAATGTCATTTAAAAAAAATTCAAAATAAGCGAAACGATTGAGAATGAACTGGATGAAAATTAAATGCAAATTTTAAAAAAAATCAAAAGAAGATTTAATTGAATTTAGCAAAAAAACTTACACTCCATCCACCACAGCAGACAACAGTAAACACAATCCCAACACATTCCTAAATCTCATACACACAACTACACAAAACGTTCAACAACAATAATGAAAATATTACCAAAACAAAAACACAAATATAAATCTGTTGAAGAAAAAAACTAGGAACCTTATTCTTACGACCATCAATCTCGAAAAATGAAATATTGTTCTTCCTGTAGATCTCATTGCCTGGAGGATGGTTTGCTTGACACTTGGCCTATTCGCAAATAATTTATCATACATTAATATAATTATAATTAAATTATTTTATTAAATTAATAATATTATTTCTCTCTTAATTCTTAATTATTTCTCTGAAAATTACTCAGAGGTGACAGCTTACACAGTACGTATGTTAATATTAAAATGAATAAGTAGCGTAATTTTCTATAGTCCAACTAACTAACTAGTTAGCTATTTAACTGACTGACTGTGACTGACTGACTAAACTGACTGACTAACAGACTAACTAACTGACTGACTAACTGACTGACTGACTAACTAACTAACTAGCTAGCTAGCTAACTAACTAACTACTTACTAACTAGCTAACTAGCTTGCTAACTTACTAGCTGTGACTGACTAACTGGCTGACTAACTGACCAGATGTCTTTCCAAACATTTGGGGCTCTTGATGTATTTGAGACAGAACTCGCAGATGTAGATGACCGGCAGTGTCGTCATTTCCTGCAAACGTTTGAATAAATAAATAAACAAAAAATAACTATTAAATTAAAAAAAATATTGAATAAAATAACAAATATAATATGAAAAATAATAAATGAATAATATATAAATATAAGTAACAAATGAATGTATGAATAAATGGTTAAGTAAAAGGAAAAATGGTTATAAATTAATTATAAGCAATAAATAAATTATAAATAATATTAATTCAAAACTTTCATTACCACCACAGTTTTTCATCACCACATTACTATCATCATTACAATCACCATCGTCGCCACCATCATTGCAACAACCGCCAAACCACCACGACACCACGACCACCACCATCATACATTCCCCCTTACTTGGGGGTAGGGAGAAAAGTACCAGGGCTTGATCTGGTGCCTCCCAATCTCAATGAGTTCGATGTTCTTCATGCGTGTGACGATGTCATCGTGATGGGCCACCATGCTCCCTGCGTCATCACGTAATGTAATGAGTAATGTAATTACATGCAGATGAAATGTAATTAAGTAAAGGTGTAATGTAATTACGTAAAGGCGTAATGTAATTGTGTAAAGGCGTAATGTAATTGTGTAAAGGCGTAATGTAATTGTGTAAAGGTGTAATGTAATAGTGTAAAGGCGTAATGTAATTGTGTAAAGGTGTAATGTAATTGTGTAAAGGCGTAATGTAATTGTGTAAAGACGTAATGTAATTGTGTAAAGGTGTGATGTAATTGTGTAAAGGTGTAATGTAATTGTGTAAAGGCGTAATGTAATTGTGTAAAGGCGTAATGTAATTGTGTAAAGGTGTAATGTAATTGTGTAAAGGAGTAGTGTAATTACGTATATTGTGTGTTATTAATTATAACTAATAATAATTAATAAAATTATTAATAAATTTGTAAATAAAAATGACTACAAATCACAAACCAGTCTGTCTTGGTATTTTCTGGTCAGGCACATCTTGCGAGTCCTGCAGTCACCAACAATCAATTTAATTACTAACGTATAATAATAATAACAGTTAGGCGATGTCCTGGTTCGAATACTGCCTGTCCGAAATTCAACGCCATGCACGTATAATGCAGTGCTTACGTATATGTAGAAAGTACAGCCTCTTATGGCGCTTAAGTTTAAATGAAGGAATGATATATGAGCAGTTCTGTGTTTGTCAGAACTGTATGAAAAACAAAAAAAAAATAAAAAAAGAATAAATAAATACAAATAAACTCAGAATACTTGATTTTGGTTTGCTTCGAATGCCTGTTAATATACAAAGTAAAAAAAGTTGTGTTGTTGGTGTTGATGGAGTTGTTTTAGAGTTGCTTGCTGTTGTTGAATGATGCTAATGCTTTTAAAATTTAAAAAAATGATATCCTTACAATTATATCCACACAATCATACCCACGCAATGATACCCACACAATCATACCCACACAGTGATACCCACATAATGATATCCACACAATGATATCCACATAATGATATCCACACAATGATATCCACACAATGATATCCACACAATGATATCCTAAATTAGAATAGATAGCATAGCCTAATGACACAACACAAACCTTGATACTCGGAGAGGACTGAGGTCTCGGTAGGTCATTAGAAAAAGTGGTATCCTATGGTAATATGTCAGAATGGGAGACATTTCATTTTTATATCCACATAGTAAATATCAAGTATATTAAAGTAACTATGTTTGGTTCTCATATTTATATTCATATAGTGACTATCGAGTATGTCAAAGTATCAAAGTATCTGTTTTATTCTCATATTTATATTTATACAATGGATATCAGGTCAAATAAAGTATCAATTTATCTATATTACGTTCGATTCTAACATCTATATTCATATGGTGGATGTATGTATGTATGTATGTATGTATGTATGTATGTATGTATGACTCACACATAGAACTTCTCATCAGATACTTACGGCAATGTCTTCACCAAACGTCTTCCTCTTCCTACCAATGGCTGGCTGTTTCTTTTGAGTGCCGTTCTATCAGTAGCAATGAAATTAATGTATGCTGATTGGTGGGGTTGATGTTGAATGAAAATAATTTTTCTGTAAAAAGGTTTGATGCTGGTTGGTTAGAAACATTGAAAAGTGAAACAGCAATAAGTATTAATCACAAATAAGATGAAAATATTAAAATCTTTCAATTCTCTGTGCCCATAAAAACCATTACGATCGCAAAAAATATCGGTCACTTCAATTCATCATGACAAAAACCATAGAAAAAAGGGTTAATTAAGTCGACACAAGATGATGCAATCCAAAAAGTAATAAGGTTATTGGAATGGTTAAGAGACTGAACAATGGATAACCTATCTTAATATTCAACTCCTATTAAATGGGTAAATTTTGGAAAGTCTTATGAGTCAACTTGGTGACAAGATAGTAGAATGGTTAAGGTGCCTGGCACTGAAGTTGCAATAACTGTGTTCAAATGCTAAAAAGAGAATTGTAAAAGAAAATACCCAAACAGAAGACAATGATTTCTGTTACAATCTACGATTAAGAGTGCCGGTTAAAAATCTATAAGACAATCATCCGGAAAAAGTTAGCCGACAACACTATAGAGAAAATTATCACATCCCTTGAAGCAATATAAAACTGAAAAACCCCTCAAAGATACTCACCATCTCTCTCTCTGGTGTGGACTGTCTGGAACCATTGGTCAGTTTCAATGGAGTTTTGAGATCTTTCTTACTGGACTCGATTCTAGAGAGGTCCATCCTATCCGTTGATATCCAATCGTCTAATCTCTTGTTGACTGTTCAGTGCACGGTGATCATTTGTATATTACAATAATTACAATAAACATAATAAAAAACCATTATAATTATTAATTTAATTATCGTTATTACTGCATGAACTAGTCAATACTATCCAATAATTAATTTGTGTTTATAAAATCATATTATAGCCATTCATAGATAACTTTCTTTTATAAATTCACATTGTAGTCACTCATCAAACACAACACAGATATCCTTATCTGTCATAATGGTAATAGCTTAACTGAATAATTGAGAGTTACAGTTGCAAGGTACAATAATTCATTATAACAATAAAAGCAACTGACACATTCTACCTTACTAAACAAACACAAGTAAAAAACTGTGAAAAAATGCTGTCAACAAAAACATTAAAAATCAGCAAAATGCATATGATCTAACCAACAACAAAACACATACATACAAGGTCAAACACACCCAAAACACACACATAGACACACACAAACATAGACACACACACATATACACACAAACAAATACACGCAAACACACAACACAAGATATACACATACACACAAATACACACACAAACAACACAAAACCTATACATACACACAAACAAATACACACATACATATACACACAAACAGATACACACACACATATCAGCAATAAGTATATATATATATGTAAAAGAAATTTATGATAAGACACCAACAGTCTTCAAAGTGAACATAGTACAATGTAGTTCCACCCTGCTCCTTCTTGCTCAATATTTCTGCATAATCTGTGTTCGAAAGATTTTTATTGGAAATTGTAAATTAAATTATAAAGTAATGTTAAACATAATTACAAATAAATATAAAAATATATATTAAATATTATATGTATAAAGCATGGTTTAGCTATCTATACTTATTATTTGATCAACAATTATTTTTGTGGCATCATCCCATTGTACTTTTCATTATCATAAGAAAGCCTACACAATCAAAATTGTAACATTTGTAAAAAATTTAAAGAAAAAAAAATTAAAGGTAGATATTAATTAATATATGTAAACATCAATTAGAATGTTTTAAAGTCAGGTAAATAAATAATGTATACAGATACAAATAAATTATCCGTGCAATTGAAGTACTTTTGAACAAAAAAAATCAAACCCAACTTTATAAATAAAAGAAAAAAAGAAGTTGTATATAATATACATATAAACATTGAAGAAATATAACAAGAGACAGCAACAAAAGCAGCCACAATGCCGCAAGCAATAACAATGGCAGCACCAGTGGCAGTGCTAACCTCTATAGCACCAAACACAATAGCCACACATTAGCAGCAAAAAAGAACAAAAAAAAACAATCACTAACGCCAGTCTCCATTTTTCAGTCTGACAGGAACCCGGCAACCTTCGTTAACTTCCATCTACGAGTAGATGTATGCATAACGGTAGATACAAATATGAAATTATGAAGATGATACAATGATACAAACATTAAGATATCACAACGGTAGATACAAATATGAAATTATGAAGATGACAAAATCAATTAACAATTTCTGTGGTCTTGAATCACTTTACGGTCCTTAGTTCTTCAGATATCTTTTAGTGAAGTCAAGCACACAATTTACTGGCAATAATTTAAATATTCACTACTCTCACAGTCAACTTAAGGCGTTTTGTGATTTCATCATTGAATAATTAAATCTGTTAGATGTGAACTAAAGAAATTTGCCTTGTCTATTTCCTTACAATAATATTCTAGTAATTTCGTTACCACAACGAACAACTATATTCATTCACTTACAACAACTTGAAAATCATTAAAAGGAAGTTCAAAACTGATTAATTGAGGGGAGTTGGTTAGATTTGTAATTTAATAATAAAATTCAAACACTACAATTAAATAACTTCAGCTCTTTTGACTCCTATATCTACCTACCTACCTACCTACCTACCTACCTACCCACCTACCTATCTATCGTGCTATCACTATTAGGCTGTCACTGCCAGTTGAGAGTTGAGTCATTCACAGACATTCACATTACTAATCGACCAGTGAGTAATCTAAACAAGTGATACTGACAAGCGAAAGATGAAGAAAGCAGGTGTCAGGTATATGCTCTTGTAGCATTTTACTACTAAACTTACACAACAAATCTTTGAGATAAATATAATAAAATAGATCACAACATAGCTTGGCATCATAGGCATAGGTAGGTTATGAAATTTTAAAATAAAATGAAGTTCCTTTCCTTACTTTTTTTAACTCCTTTATAGACTAAGATATTTTTTTATTTATTTTATATTTTCTTTTTTAAAATTCACCTTACAATTAATTACTTACATTAGTTTAGTATTACTATTAATTAATTAAAAAATTTGAATAACATCGTTTACATTACTTATTACTACAGTTTTACTATTACTGCAGTTATTATTGCTACAGTTATTATTACTATTACATTTCATTACTACAGTATTACACATACATTACGATTACAACTTACCCTTGGGTCTCATAGTGGATAAAACTGACTCGTATACAGACGTTTTCCTAAAGTCTCGTCTAACTACTAAATATTATAAACTAAAGGTGCATAACCATGGCATAAAGCCTGCCTGACCCTTCTTAACTTTCCTATCCATGGGCACTCATTCCTCTAACTAACACCTAACAGTCTAACACACATCATGATATCTTTTGCATTAGAACCGAGTTATAAAATTAATAAAACGTTCAACAAAAATTCAATAAAAAAAATGACACTCACATTATCGTTGGCCATCGTTCAAGATAAAAAATAAAATATTTTTAAACTAATTAAAAAGTTTTGTTGAAAACAAGTAAACAGACCATTTCGGTCTATGTCTTTTAGTCCTAGAATTTAGAATAAAGGTAACAACTTTCGTAGCGCTTGACATTTACTTTTGTGCATCAAATTTATCGAAAACAACTTTATTACATTGTTTTAATTCTATTTAAAATAATCTTGTAAAAATATTTATTTTAATTAGAGCGCATCACATTTATTGCAGTATATACTACATGTACTAACAACTAACACACCTTAAATACAACAAGCATGTTTCACTGGAAAAACATTATTACATGAATGTCTGGAGATAAAATTTATCAAACGGAGCAGCAAATTGCACAATATTTCAACTTTTTCAAATTAAAATTTTTTCCTTGTTTGCAACAAAGTAAATATGAAGACTCAATACAAAGTTAGTGTAGCTGTTGAGAACGGGGCATTTTGCTCTATCATGTAAATATTTTCTTGTCTCTAAAATTAACGACAATTAATAAAATGTTGGAAGTAAATATTAATATGATTGACAGATATTCGTGATAGCTGTTTGGATGTTGTCATCGTTATGTGCCAACACGAGCTCTCAAGTAATTATTAGCTGTGTGAACATTCTCAACAACCTCATTAAAGTCGATTCTTTTCGCGCTAAAATTGGTGAGTATGAAATTTTTTATATAAAAATTATGGACTGGTTGTAAACGATTGTGACAATTAAAACAAAGCGAGGTAGTTAAATTGGTAACACTGAGAATAATCTTAATGACGGTTTAACACCAATTACATGTTGTAGCTATTCTTATCCCATTTTTTGTCACAATTATCACATTTACCGATATCCAATTGAACAACAGATTATACAAACTGCGTGAGTCTACACCGAGACAAACAGATCTATTACTTAGTGACAAGAATTAAACCAGCCGGTGAACTGGTTCCCAACAGATGTTCCAAGGTGATTGTTTCGTCAGATGGCAACAAACTCCTCCTCAGCGAATGGACTGCAACTGCTTCCATATTCCCCATCTGTTAGTTGCTGAGTGCCAAGTTTTGATGGTGCAATTGACGGTGGTTCGTTGTCCTCCTAATTGGTGTTTGTTTTATTTCTCATTTTGCAGTTCTGACAGAAGCAAAATTGGCTTGAAAAATTGTTTTTTGCCAATTAGGCGACAGATTAAACTTCTGTGCACTTAAGGTAGACACTCGCGTACATGCATGCTCCTATTTCGTTTGACAATCTTTATCTTTGGACAGACGGCATTTGAACCAGGTCAGCACACAAGACAACGCGCGCAGAGATAGAAATCGAACGTTATTTTTAAAGTTTCGTGTTTAGTAAGACCTAAAGTTCGGATCCTATTTGGTCCGGTTTGACATTACTATACGAATCGGGTTTGGTTTTTAACTTTAAGAAACTGCGCAATAGCAAAACTGAGTTATAAAGATTCAACGCAACGGTTGATTTAACAACAGTATTTTTCAGTTTTACAAATACAAAAAACGTTAAAACTGAAAATAAAATGACAAATGAGTTGAGAGTTGAGAGAGCATGATGGCAGCCTAAGCGAGTACAGGACTGCATTTTTTATTTTAGAACTTTCTAATTTTTTTGACGTTTGGGTCAAAAGATGTGAACATCTTTGTCGTAATTCTATAGTTCGAATTGGTACATAGTGATTTTAAAGTTTGAGTTTGTTGTTCGTTCGTACCTACCTGGTAGTAATTTTAAAGTTCTAGCTTCGTCTTGAGCAAGTTTTGAGTTTGGTTTGTTTCCCATCTCTGCGCAACGCTGAACATGTCGAAATTCCAGCCTGAGCTAACTCGCAAACCTGCATATTATATCATGACCACTTGCGCAAATGACGCGTCATTCGTCCCGTTGTTGCCCTACTTGTCGACTGTGGTAATGTTTACTGAGTTGATCAGTTGTGGCTGTTGTTTCGTTGAATGCTGTTACAAACTACAAACGACCGATAAAAATTAGGCTTCAACGAAAAAAAGTCAGTCTAACATTATACTAATTAATATATTCCACATTGCGTTAGTGATGCCACTTATAATATATATCTATCGTATGCCGTATCACATATCGTAATGAAATAGCAATGAAGTGAGTTTAAAAACAAGAAATTGTGGTGAGGCTATCAAAAGGTCACCGAAAAATATCAGCTCATCAAGCATTCTATATACTGTTACACCATTACTTGCAGAAAAACTGACTGACACGCTTATGGCTATGGCTATGTACACAGGCACATGTAGACGCACTTGAATAAGTTGAAGCTGAACAAGCGCGTACACTTGCACACACATACACACATGTGCACATACACATATGCACATACGTACACATACAAACGTACACACATTTCGATAGCTGGATACGATTGCATGATGATCATGAAGATGGAATGTGACGTTCTTCAGCACTGCAAAACAATATGGATGCTCAACAAAAGTTAATTTAAATTCTTTCAGAAAACTGTTTTATATATTTTTTTAATAATGCGCAAACTTTTAATTTGCCTAACTGCATGATATTGTTAAACAACTAATTATTATTTTTAACTCATCGATTCAAACGTCGCTAACGTAGAGGCACACACGATTAACAGAGAGAGTTTTATAATGAAGCTCCATCAATAATTAATGCCCTACTAAAATTTTCCGCCGCTACAAATTTATTGTCGAACGCTCCCCTGTTTCATGTCTGCATCTTCCTGATTTCATTCACCTCAAATTTTTCACTACAGTTGTTTAATAGTTTTGTTTGTTTTTGTTCCTGTCATTTGAATTCGAGATTTTTTTTAGATCGTTTCGTTGTTTTTCTGTTTAACAAAATTTATTTGTTTATTTTAAAAAAATCAGATTCTGACAGACGAAAAGTCAAAATGTTGCCTAATTTTTAAACGCAAAGTTTTAATAAACAAAACATAATTTTCCAGCACACACATCGTTCAGAAATCGTTTAACGTTTACACATGCACTCATTTTTTGCAATTGTACAATTGCACACACACACATACACGCACACACATACACGCACACAAACATACACACGCACACACACACACACTTGTCAGCAATCTTTTAAATGTTGTTGTCACCGTCAGTTTATTTCCATAATATAATCATGTTAGATAATAATTGCTGTTGACGGATGGTTTGAGTTTTGGAAATGTTGAACGCGGATTGGCATCATTGAAGTGCACTCTGGCGCATCATTTTTACAAGTTGTTACATACCAATACAATGTTATTTAAACATAATTCTGCATCACACAAATTTTTACTTTATTTTTCATCTACACGTGTGATGAAACTGTGGTAGAAATGTTGAATACGGGAAGTTTCAAAAAGAAATCATTTGAAACTTAAAAATCTTTTAATAAATGACTAAGCAGATCTTATTGAAATTTATTCTACTCCTTAATTATAATTAATAATTTCCTTAATTATAATTAATAATTACTGAAACATTCTTTGAAGACCCGCCATTGAACAGCTCTCAGCCAACGAAGGAACCACTTTGTGACCTCACCAACTTGGTCGGAAACATTACCTCATCTGTCTTCTTCAAAGGCGTCAACATTTGTGACGCGGCTATCAACACTGAAAATAGTTCGATGTTCATCAAATCCTGCGAACCTCGGAGCGTTCTACTACCCACTCCGAATGGTGAGTGTGTGTTGGTATAAATAAAGTACTGATAATAAATGTAAAGATGGATGTCATTTGTCTTCTGTTTCAATTTTTTATTGGCTGATATAATGACGTACTGGCTAGGAGTGACTGGTCCAGCCTTTCAATCGCTATGTGCCGCACGTGTGTGTCAAACGCCAGGCGAGGGAATAATTTTCAAGTTATCATTAATAATTTTTAGTTGGACGGCTTGATGGCCTGGTGGTTAAGGTCACCTGTTACTGTTTCGCCGTGCCTAAGTGACCAGGTTCGAATACGATCAAAAGATTCCCACCTAGCACATGCTTTGTGTGTGATGCGTCGTTTAGCGTGTGTTCATGTACGCTGTTTGTGTCACATAACTTCCATTGCATCCAAACAGTTCATGTTCGCTTTTTGACTGATTTCTAACAGATTTAACTCACTCATTCACTTACTCACTCATTCACTTACTCACTCATTCACTTACTCACTCATTCACTTACTCACTCACTCACATCATTCTTTGTTACATTACAATCAACGAACCAGGCCGTTACGATTGTTTGCTGAGTGTCAGAGAAAATGGCATCGTCGAAAATTTTCTCGTGAAAGTGAACAATCAATTTCAATTTGTGGTTAGTAGGTTGTGTGTTTTTTCTTCTTTTTTTTCGTTATTTATTCATCTTCAACTTTTATTTAAAGTTCTTTTCAAATCATTCTAACTTTCTTTCATATAATTTCCTGTTTCTTGACCTGTTGAATCAAACGTAACATAGAACATTCTACAAAATAATCAAAAATGAATGGCTGATTGCGAGTGAATGGAATTGTATCAAGTATAACCGATCAGGAATATAAGTGAGGTGTGAGCGATAGTAATACGAATGCTACTCGTGATGAGCATGATGTTGATGATTATAGAGTTGCATTAATTTATTATTATTATTTATTATTATTATTATTATTGTTATTATTATTATTATTATTAACTTGAGTTAGCACCGATTTCAACACTAATTGACTGCAGCGTTACAACCTGACGAGCAACTTGCTGGTCCTTTCAAGATGTCCCCAGGTCTCAAGATGTCCATCAAAGGAGGATGAATGGACTCGTAACGGGCTGGTCACTTTCAAGAAACGACTCACTACTAATCTTAACATGGATGAATCGCTCTTCATCATAAACGTAACATCCAAACAACAACCACCACCAGATTTCTTGATTGACGCGTCTGGCAACTCCACCAACAAAAACACCACACAGTTTCAACTTCCCACCACGCTCAACAGCACAAGACCACCGAATGGCAACAACACCGCCAACCAAACTGCCTCCCAGCAGACGACAGCCTCAGCGCCAACCATAACTTGCAAGCCCATGTACAGACTTGATTATAAGACGAAACAGTGTGTCGTCAATGTGGAACGTTTGCTGCCCGCACTCATCATCAGCGCCTTGATCGTCTTGGCCGTCTCAATTCTTTTGTTGCTGGTTAATTTTTGCAGGTCTGAAAACAGCGCGCAAGTGCACAAGTCTGTTTCCAAGTTGTACCTGGCAATGAACAGTAAAGAAGAGATTTAAGATTGATGTTCAGTGTTGGAGGGCCCGAGTTGAAAAGCAGTTGTGGATTTTAATGTCGTTCGGTTGTATTGCTGAAAGGTAGATTCTTCATGTAAAGCTGGCTTGTTCATATATTTTAACTGATGTACTTTATATTTTTGCACCAGTTTTACGCCAACCCATGTTTACATCATCCACCGCTCTTCTTAAATGCAAAAACGTCAAATCGTCAATCAATATCATTTCAGGTGTTGTTTATTATGTTGTATGCAATGTTCACTCAAGTAATTGACATGGGTGAAGAGATTTCTCCCTGGAATTTCATCACACATGTCAATTACGTTGTAGGAAGATCATTCATTGGTTGTTATTATGTCTTCTTTTAACATACAGTTTCAATCAAATCTTCTAAGTTCATCACATCTCAAAGAAATGTTAAAATAAAATGAAAAAAATATTTTTGAAAATATTTGTCCTTGTTTGTTTGTTTTCTGTGTATGTGTATGAATGTGTGTATATGATTGTGTGTAAGTGCTCACTATGCTTGTAATGTAATTTGTAGCTGTTTCATAAGCCAAAAGTTATAGACGCAGCAAATATTCCGTCTGGCGTTTGACATTCGGCCATTTTCAGGCCAAATAACGAATGTTGCAATTTTCGTTAACCATCACTTTTTTGGATTCCAGGGCAATAAGTATTAATTATTATTAGTGAGAAATTAAAATTGGTCATCATAGATACTAAGAACTGAATTTAAACAAGGGATTAATTATTATCTCGGTAATGAATTGTTGGATAAATACAATTCACCTACTGTTCTGTTTTTTTCAAAAATTGCAAATTTTTTGGTATTCAGCTTTTGGCTTCGGCCAAATAGTTGGTCCACTATTTGTCGATCTCTGCCAGAAATTTAAAATTGTTAGAATCATTTTATTAAATTAATTTATAGAACTTTGTTGTTGAATCTTTTGCTTGCTAAGATAAGTAATGTCCTAAAATCTAATGAATGAGTGAATGAATGAATGATTAGTGTCGTGCTGTTGTGCAAGTTATCAATGTTTCATGCCTCGGTCACTTTTTTATGCTTAGCATCATTATCTTATTAATTCATCTTTAATTAAATAATTAATACTTTAATTATTTAATTAATTATTTAATTGATTGATTCATTTATTTTTATATATATTGTTGTTTGTAATGAATTGAAAATCGTTAATATAAGTGTTTATCCCATTTGTTTTTGCGCGTATTATTTCCTTGAAAATCATTTAAATATTTATTCTTCCGAACTGGTGTTTTTATACTTCTTATTATAGTTGGACTCATAAAAAATTGTGTCCGGTATATTTTCTGGAACAAACAGAGCTAGCTCTCCACTCAATGATCCAATAGCTTTCTGTTTCAGTTCCAGCCATGCATACAAACACCTCTTAGTCGTCTATTACACGTTGTGTGAATGAATATAAACATTTATTAACATACAAATTTAAAATATTTGCACTCAAACAAACAAAAAAAGTGTCTGACATCAGTTTCATAAAAGACACGTCCAATGTTTGCGAGGAGACGCTGAGTGATTGATGTTCGCCACAGCAGACGTCGATGGAACGTTGTTGGGTTCGAGGTTCAATACAACTTTATAAGACTCTTGTCGTCTTGTACATTCGCATTGCACAAGTTGCACCTACACGCACACGTGCATATGAAACACACACGCTCACACAAGAACGCACTCACACGTGTAATCACAAATAACGCAAGTTAGTACATATATTTACACACATATATAAGCATACACATATACGTGCAAAATTATAGACACACCTATGTAAATATTAGTATGTAACGACTAAAAAACACACATATACAAGCAACAACACACGCACGCATATGCAGAACACACTCGTGTGTTAATACATGCACATTTTCGCAGTTTATTGTACGACGCGCTAATACTATTTAATACAACAAACGTACCAGCAACCAAAATCACAACCCAAAATCACTTATAACACTGGCGTCAACAACAATAGCATCAATAATAACAGGTAGTATAATGTAATAGGGATGGCATTGTCCGTGGTGGATTTATGTAGAAAATCGACCAAAGTTTGACATGATAAACAAAATTAAGGTTGCCAACCTAATTATCTTGCCCCCTCCCGTCGTAACATTTTTTTTTAAAAGCAGTATCTCATTAAATTACTAAATAAACCATACCAAAATAATTAACAAAGGTTTCAAATAATTTTTATATATTTTATTACATTTTATTTTATTGAAAAATATTTGCAAGGCTTGTTCAAACTCGAACAAACACTTAACCATACAGATCCACAAACAATTTCGAGATTTTAATAAAGAAAAAAAAACACATTTGTTGTTTTTATTTGAATTCAATCAAAAATAAAAAGTGACGGTTAATTAAAATTTTAAAAAAGTCAATTTTTTTAAAAATTCGTATTTTAAACAAACAAATATAACAAAATATCAACCGATAAATAATAATTATTATCCATTATTATTATTATACACACTCCATAGTAGTTCTCGGAGAATGATTCAAGTAACAATAACATTTAGTAAGAACAGTTCATAATGACTAAATCAACATACCAAACAGAAATTATTTATACATGCATATATACTAAGTAAATCAAGAATTATCTAAAAATTATATAACCAAATTTTAAAAAAAACTAGAAACCAGTCAACGTTTAATAAATAAATAAATAAATTATTAAAAAGATTGTTCAAAAAGGTAAAATTTAAGGCGACGACGAGAATGAAATGTAGTTTGTTTTGTTGGTGTGCTGTTGTGAAGCGAAAACAAACACATCCCACAAAACTAGTTAGAAGTCGCAAGAATAGTAGTCAGTCACCTACCTACAATTAAATTACTCTCAGGGCCCTAGCTTATAATCATTAACTCAACTCACTTACCTACAAATTTGTATTTCTACGTTTTAGAAATTTTACATGTTTCAGGTATTTTATTTAACATATTTTAGCGTTTTTATTTTACTTGAAACTTTTTAACTAATGTTAAGCCCTAGCTTACCTACGATTGTTCAACTCATCTCAATCCCTAACTTACCTATGAATTAAATTAAGTCCGGTAAAGATAATAGAAAGTTGAAGAGAAACATAACAACGACACCGAATGAATGGATGTTGTGTATGTGTGTGTTGTATTGATGTATGTGCGTAAATATGTGTGCGCGTGTACTCTCCAGACACTCCTTATTGTCATCTTCGAATTGTCATCGGAACGATCATCATGAGACCATCATCTGAAACGTGCTGACGCCCACCACAACCCGCCTCTCAGCATTCTGTAGACAAATTTTTTTATTAGCGTAGCAGTAAATGAATGTTAGAATCTTAGAAGAAAAAAATTATAAAATAAAAATAGTGGCAATTAAATAATATTTTAAAATAATAAAGAGAGTAAAATGTAAAAAAACCTTACTTTCGTCTATTCGACAAAGGCAGAATGTTGAATGGCTGAGTGAATGAATTAATTAATTAAGTAATCAATCAAATGATTCAATGATTAATAATAATTAATTAATGGAAAAATAATTTGAAAGATTGAGTGATAAAATGAATGAATGAATGAATGAACGAACGAACGAACGAACGAATAAATGAGAAAAATTAAAAGACGAAACTAAACCTTACTTCAAAAATCGTCGTTACTGTACTCCGTTGCACCGACCACCATCATCTGGTCGGCACACAAGATGTCATCCGAACTTCAGAGTGTCAGTCGAACAGCCAACGAGCTGATTCTTCCTACACCACCATCATCAAATGTAAATCATCATGAGACCACCATCGGAAACGTGCTGACTCCCACCTCTGCCCACCTCTCATCATTCTGTAGATAAAATTTTTTTATTAGCGTAGTAGTAAATGAATGTTAGAATCTGAAAAGCAAAAATTTTAAAATGAAAATAATGGAAAAATAGTATTTTAAAATAACAAAGAGTAAAATGTAAAAAAAAAACTTACCGTCGTCCATTCGACAAAGGCAGAATGTTGAATGCGGTTCGGTTCCTACGTTGTCCTCCAAAACTGGTGCAAGTCCCCCGAGAAACACAGCCCGTGGAATGGAGAAAGATAAAGAGAAGATTCTCATCAGAAAGCTTAGCGGTGCCTGCATCTCAAATTGCTTAATAAAAATAATCCTATCTACCTATTCAATTACCTTATCTATATTAAATTGTTAATGGTACGATAGTCGAAAGTCCCCCTTCATTCTCCCTCCTTGCACAGAGGTTCACCGACAGCCAGGGCACCGGATAGAAAACCATTGCCGTGCGGATAGTAGACTATTGCCGTGCGGATAGTAAACCATTTGCCGTCCGGAAGCCGTGCGGGTAGTAGACTATGGCCCTGCCGCATAGTAAATCATTACAGTGCAGATGGTAAACCATTGCCGTCCGGATAGTAAACCATTGCCGGTTCACCACTGGCCACCAAGGCTTACCTCTGACATCAGACTTCGAAATTCAGAGTCTTTCGGCTATCGTACCCTCAACTTACCTATTCAATACAATTAAGCCCTAGCTTACCTAAAATTACAAAACTCAAGAGCCCAATTCATTTGCCAATCGGCACCCAACCCACCACCTACGTAATGCCTTGGGCTCCAACTTAGTAATAATAATATAAAACTTAAACCCTAAATCTATTAATGAGTATGTTACAACGTAGCCTTAACTTGCCTATTCATTACATTACGGCACTAGCTTACCTAAAATTACAAAACTCAAGAGCCCAATTCATTGGCCTTTCGGCACCCACCCCACCACCTACGTAATGCCTTGGGCTCCAACATAATAATAATAATGTAGAACTTAAAATTAATCTACCTATCGATACACTTACAGCGTTTTAATTTACATTACAAGATTGTTCCTAGAATTAAATTATTGCCCTTAACTACCTATGAAATAAAATTACTCTCAACCTTAGTTATAATAAATTAGAATGTGTAATGAAAATAAAATTACTCTCAAATACTAACATATGTGTTTATGTATGTATTTGTGTATGTGTGTAATACGCTGATGCGTGTAATGTGGGTGCAAGAAAAAAATAGAAACGATAAACTTACGCGCCTACCTATTCAAATACATTAGTGTTGGATGCTTCCTATATATCCTACCTACAATTAAAATTATGCCTATCTAACCTACCTATATAGCTACTTAATGTAATTGTGTGTGCGTGTGAGCATTCTTACTTAATGTTAAATTACAGAGAAAAGAAAATAAAACGTATCCCAGCCAGGCGTGTATTCTTTGCCACTGAATGAATCAACGTAGCCTGACATCTTCGCTGATGAACTCCTCTGGAAGCTTCAACCTGAATGAAATGAATAATATGAAAAAATCTCATTTATTTAATTAATTTAAATGAAAATAGAGAAACGAGCCGCGGTGAAACCCGCCAGCCAGAAA